GGGACTTGTCTGTGTATGTGTGTGTGTGTGTTTGTTTGTATGTATGTATGTATGTATGTATGTATGTATGTATGTATGTATGTATGTATGCATGCATGCATGTATGTATGTATGTATGTATGCATGTATTTTTTATATGTGGATCAGTTGCAACTGTCAGCATTCATTTGAATATTTTTAGCCAGGAAAACACAAAGGAATCGCTGCAACATGCAAGGTGCATTGTGTGCAAAGAAAAATTCCCTTTTGTCTCCGGATCTTGCATTTATAAAGTTGCAAATATCTTTAAAAAATTTGGCTTTAATTTTATATATAGGACTAAAAACTTAAACACAAATAGGAAGGAATTCAATTGAAGGTAGGGCGTTATCGTGTTTCTAAGCTGGTTAGATTTATTTATCGTTCTGCAGGGTGTCAGGGAGAGTGACTTCCAAAGCTGAACCTTTGCCAGTTTTCAATGGAATTAGAGTGCAGCCATCCGGACGCTTCCTTAGCTAAAACTCCTGATGGTTCTTTCAACACTGGAATTGATACCTGTGAAAAAAGTCTGCAAATGTGGTCGTTGAAAGCAGAGAGGCAAAACTCGTGGGCGAAAGCACCGCACTTGCAATGGAAAAACTTTAAACCGTTAAGCCGAGTTTGAATGCTATCGCAATTGATTCGTCATCAAGTCTGGTTGTTCCCGAAGTGTTAGGTCAAGACTTGAGCCAACGACAGCTTGCTGGACTAGAAAAAGCCAATAATCGGGCCATATTTGGATTATCGGAACAAAATATCAAAAGTGTCTGAAAGGAGTTTTTATGTAACTCTTCGAGCATTATATTTTGGAACACTTTTTCATTAGATTTTTTCGATCTTTTGAGGATTGTGCGGTTTGGAATAGCGCAAAATGTGTTCAAAAAATGTTCAAATAGAAATAATGATAATATATTTTGTATCACACAAATCTGTATTATTCTGATTTTATTTTTAATAGAAAACTGAATAAAGCATGTGTGAGTGACCGTGTAACAAATTTTTAAAACTTTAAAATTAATGATAAAAAAAATCATGTGTTGTGATGATAGCAATTAATGACGAGGATGAAGAAGAAGATGATGTGAATGATGATGAAAACGTGGCTCGAAAGGAAATCGACTAACATGAATAATTAATTGATTGGTCAAATTAGAGGCAGACTAAACCTTTTATCAATGGCGTCTCATAAAAGCTCGTGCAAACAGGCAACCTGGATAATGAACATGGTAGGCTGAAAAGTTGTAAGATCCTTTTTTCAAAAACAATGGGTAAAAATATTTTTCATCCCATTATGTATACTAAACTAATTCATTAACCACTTGACACTTTACACACCATTCATAGCTCTAATTAATACATAATGTAAGCAAAATTATGTTAGTAGTCACACGTTAAATAAGCACTAAATTAAGATTTTTACAATAATTTATTAAGTAATATATCTTTGTCACGCTAAGATGATCATTTTATTGAACCTATTTAAAATAATTACCTATCTGATTTCTTCCATTTATGCCTAATAAACATTAAATACATTTGGGATACATTAATGTAGATATTTAATTTTGTGAAGATGATTTCATTTTTATTATTCACACTTGAAGCGATAAAACATGTCATGAAATTTTCAGAAAAAAAAATTCATGCATCTCAACAATGGAAAAGTTCATCTTTTTTTATGATACCTCGGGAATATTTCTCAAACGTTATCTGTTAAATGAAAAATGTGAGGATGACATATGTTAATCTAATTTCCAGGAACACTGAGCTTATCAAGTGCACTAACGTAAACCAGAAGAAGCATAACTAGATTGCATTGTAACATGTTATGTAATACTATTTTAAGTTTTATATGTCATATAACAAAAATTTCATATCATGTTTTTTCGATCAAAATGTCAATCACATTTTTAAACGGTCCTAAGTTAAAATAAAGTCAATGAACATGGAGATGGTATATAAATGAATAAACACAAAAATCAACCAAGTTAATGAGCATCTTTATAGATACCTTAGGGTATAGACGCTTTATAGTGGTTCTTTCCAAGTTCTGAATGATTTCAACTATAAATCATATAATGATGAGGATGATGATAATGATGCACAGTTATAATTTTAGTTATACGTGCAAAGTGATACTTTGAGACTTTAAGTCTTTTTAATTAAAGTTACAATTTCGTTAATAAATTTGCTAGCTAAAAGTCATTTGATTATTACGTTAATTAAATTTTATAATTACTTCTTAGCTAAAGTGATACAAATTTTAAATAGCAGCAATAGATTTAATTATAATATTTTGATGTTTAAGCAACAACAATTATATATTCACACTAGGCAAATATTAAACGATATTTTTTCAAAACAGATTCCAGGTAGAGAGCACATAAGGTACATGTGCGCATATTCATGTGTATAATTCAAGGCATACAACAAACAGATCCAAACATCAAAAACATTGCGCAAGACTGCTGACTGATTCTTATAACGTAGTTGAAGACAATAGAAACGATGGATTGGTATTGTAGTGACAAATGATGCAAGATGTGCAATGGTGAGGATGGTGAGGATGGTGGTGGAGATTAATCCTGATGATTATGAAGAGGAATGGTAATGTCGTAATGTGGATATGATATAACATTGCCACGTTGGGCGATATTTTGTAGTGTAAACTTGTTGACGATGATGGAACTGAAGTTAAATCGGGTGAAACATATGGAGTTTTATTATTGGCACATTTGTCTCAAAGAACTTTTTTTTATCATTTTGTCTTCGAAGTTTGCACTACAAGAAGATAAACATGCATTGGAGGGATTCCACTGATAAATAGTAACACACAACAGCAAAAATATTTTGAAAATGCAAGTAGGAAAAAAGTTTTGTTGATTTAGCACTTCATTAGAGACAGCACAGCACATGCGAACAAGCTCGCACACGCATCCTAAAATGAAAAATTACACACACGTTTTTACATCAATCATCATTTTAAAAGAGAACTAACTGCTTTATAACAATAAATACTAAGATTATACACGCACTTATGGAAGCTTATATTCATTCATTTATCTGTTTCTCAAACAAAAACAGAGTAACTCTTGATGTTAGTGTTGCGCTACTAACTAAATGATACAACGATACTCACGAGAAAGAAAGCTGTTGTACAACTCACTTAACTGGCAATGTTAATAATGATAGATGCAATAATGGTGATACAATTGAGAAAAAAATGTTTGGAACGTGATTAAACAAATCATCATCATCGTCATTTTTTATGGTTTTCATGCTTGGAGATGGGGTAACATTAAGCCAACATGGAGAACAACAGACATCATTTAATTGAATCTGTAAACAATTTTTGAATAAATAAAATTAGAAATAAACATGATTTATTGTATTGAAGGAAATTTTCGCGGCGTTTATTTATGTTTACCGGTACATGAACAAGAGTGTGTACAGTACAATTTACAAGTTGATTTACAAATTACACGCACACATCAGATGTGTGCGTTGAGTGTTCATATTTGCATCCATGTTCCAAGTTCGGTCACGTTGAGAGCATGTAGAGCCTGCATCTGAAGGAAAACAATGGATAACATTTCAAACGGCGTAAACTGTGTTGTGGTCGGTCTGGTGTGGTCGTTGTGGTGTGGTGTGGTCGGTGCTGTTGTACGACATAAAAAAGCGCACGCAAGGCAACTGCTTAAAACAAAAAAATTAATTATTTTACACTCACATACACCACACACACACACACACACACACACACGCACGCACACACACACAACACACACACACAGAGTACATCTCAGTTTCTATAAATGTACATGCATATTTATATATACTTCAATATACGTTGTATATATATATATATATATATATAGATCTATATATGCATTTTTGTTTTTTATGTGTTTGTACGTGCGTGTAAAACCGTACCTTGCAAAAAAAACAATGAGATCATTTGGGGTAAAAGAATTAGTACAAAGAAGGAAGAACATTTTTGTGCATGATAAAAATTAAAAGAATACGCAAAAATGCAAAAACATCACAAGGTCGACAACACTATCGCGATGACAAAATAACATGGATGATATCACTTCAAAAAAATGTGTAACATTTGTAACACAGTAACAACTACAGCCTCAAAATATTAAAAAAATACTACGAAGCATCAAAAAACATTACGAAACGTTACAAAATATCACATCAACACTTTTTGCAAACACCAAATCACATTTACACTATATCCAGTAAATGTGAAGTTTTTATAGCTTTATATAGTTGAGTTATTTTTAATGCCATTGACTAAATTCTTTTCTTTTGTTATTTTCAACAACCTATTTGTTTTTGCTGCGAAAAAAAGTTGCTTCATACAGTGATAATAAAAAATCTTTGCAGTAATATCTAAATAATGATGGAATCATATTTTGTACCATTAATAAAGTTTATTGTTGTTTCCACTGAATTTATTTGATCCGTTTTGATAACAAACGCTTAGATAAGGAAGATACAGATAAGGATTTTTTATTTCAGTGAATTAATTGATTTTGAGTATTTGATAAGTGAAACAAATTATTGAAACATAATTCAATAAATTATCACATAATGAGATGATAAAATTTGTGAAAAAAAAATGTTTGCCTACCTGGAGAGTTGGGCTGGGTAAGCAGTGGCTAGACCTGTTTTCAAGTTGATCGGAAAAGCTGAATCGAGAAAAATCAAGAAAAAAAAATTATTGTCAATTCATATTTTTGAAAAATACAATAATTTAATTTTTTAAATAAACAAAATGTTATAAATAAGAATTGAAAAAGTGAATTGCTGAAAAAAATTAATTCTAGGTTATAGTTGCTAACATTATTGTTGATATTTTTTAAACATAACCTTGAATTACTATTTTTAAGTTATTTTTATTCAGTTCTTAAATTCATTATTACCATTTTGTGTTGAGTCATATGATGCTAAATCTTATGAAAATCAATTTTTTAAAATAAAGAAATTATTGTTGCAATAATAATATTATGAATCAAATATTTAAACGAATTTGTATTAGAATTAACAACAACGTTGCCACCGTGATGAAATGGAGGACTTTGCATCCGATAACAAACGAAACACAAGCGAACAAATGAAACATGAAGCGAATGAAGCGACTTACAGAGCAACTCGCCAGCTTGCAGCCTCGGTTTGGCACCCAGGTAGGCCAGGTTGACGTTGGCCTTCCTGCCGTCAATGATCGGGTTGGGGTCCTTGCAGGCCCTTTCGGCACCCACCCTGTCAGCCATCGTCACCTACCAAACGAAATTTAAATTATTTTGTATTCATGAATGATTAGCTTTTTATAATCCGCACAAATTTGTAAAATATTAAACCTCTTTAAGTTGGTAATGCACTTTTCATATTGAATTTTTCAATTATCCGAATATATAAACACAAAAACTGTCGATCAATGCTGTTTTGTGCAATGCGTCAATTGATTATGTTTTAACGTTTCATTATTGTTCTTTTCAGCGTGCAGATTAGTAAATAATTTATTTAAAAAAATTATTTTATTTCTAAAATATTTCTAAACAGCACTGACAATTAGCAAAACATCACTAAATGGTTATTAAAAAAATCTATTGAGGTATAATAGCAAGCGTTTATTGGTTGTTTGTGAAATTGAAAAAATTTGGCAACTGCAAGACCCTTCTGAGACTCTGGCATGAGCCGAGATAAGTAAGTTTGAAGAATTACAAAAAAATCATTAAAGTGGATGTTGATATGAAGGGAAAGCTCCAAGAAACGCGAGGCAAACGAAACATTAAGCAGATCTTTCAAACGTTCAGTGAGAAAATTTAGCATATCGTTAACCACGCACCAACATGTTGCACCATATAAATAAACAGGACAACATGCGTATTAAAACAGAAGCAACATTCCACACTTATACTGTTGTGTTGTTTTAAGCTCATACACACGCTTACGTGTACTGTAAACACATACATTCAGATTCATTTATTTATTTTATATATGTGACTATAAACATGTATTTAGAAATCCTATAAGGTGTAAGGTAAATGTATAATTTAATCTAACAGAAACACCAGATTTGAAAGTTGCTGGAAATTTCTTGTGTTGTGGTTGTTGTGCAGTTTCCTCTAGTGTTGCTGGTGCTGTTGTATGGTTTGTTGTTGTGTTGGGTTTTGCTCCGTGATGTGGTGTTGTGCGGTTTGTTGTGGCTGTGTGGTGCCAATTTTTTTACGTTGTGTGGGGGGGGCGTTCATTTGGGCCAATCATTATGTTTCGCAATTGCTGTTTACTTGAGTTTTGTTTTTGCATAATGGTATTTTTCCATATGTATCATAATGCGTACCACTGTGACCAAAAGCTCGACATAATTTTAAAACATAGAAATGGGATCGAATGGTTTGTTATATTCGAATAAAAATTTTTTATTTGAAAAATATCAATTTAATGTTCAGTGTTTAGATTAACGTACGATAAATGATTTCTAGATTGCTCATCCATGCGTAATTCGGTGAGCTTTTGTGAGCAATCCAAATATAGAATAAACATCCATTCAAGAAGACAATGCATGCATGCATTACGTTCATTTTGTAATGTGGCTGCAGATCTATATGAAATGTAAAACGTTTGTGTTGTTTGCTTAAACATCAATAGGAACGACGTACTAATACATTAATCGAATGAGCGCTATGTACGTACAATGAATTGTGCTTGCTTAGCAACTCGCTCCTAGGGCATGAGTACCTACCTACTTTTACCTGCAATATTAATTTGGTAAAATCGGAAAATTTAAATTATCAAAATAATAAGCTGATTACAAAGTATTGGAAATAATTTTGCAGCTGAAAAATTAATTTCGACCAGTTTAAAATGGCTGTCGGTGTCCCACAAAAAGAAGGTTGAGAATGAAAATATGATAAACAGGAATATTTTGCAATACGTTTTGTTATTAGGAAGATACAATTTTACAGTGCTGGAATAATTAACGTTAGTCGTCAAATAATATTGAATATCAATTTCTGCAGTGCGCCAATAATATAAAACCCCCGAACAAGTTTACATGGAAAGATAAAAGATAAGTTTCGTTGTGCAGTATCAGTGAGTGCTGCCTGAAATAAACAGGCAGTCAAATGAACGTTTCAGTGAAATAATACCGTTGAGACAATTTTATTTTATTTGATTTAATTGATCTCAAATAAAATAAATTGCCTTCCAAAATTGATAAATTTTATAGAAGAGTACTAATAATGTATCTAAAAACATGGAAAAATTGAAAATCTATTTAAAATGGAAGCTAAAAAGGCCAGTTTTATAAAATAGAATTTAAAACCGGAATTGCTTTTTATAATTTTTTTTCAAAATTATTCAATTTATATGCGAGCAATTGTATAATGAGGTACTTGTTTCTAGACCTAGGCCACGGGATTAATTTAAAAAAATTAACATTTAAAAATTTTTAACAAAACCATTTTTATTTCAAAATTGACGAAACTTGTAGACTGCAAAATCGTTTGATATTGTTTTTTGATGAAATAAGTTTTTTGATAAACTTTTGAGTCGTACGCACATAAAAACTTGAAGACTGAAAAATTGTTTGATATTGTTTTTTGATGAGATTAGTTTTTTGATAAATTTTTGAGTGGTACGCACATAGAAACTGGATTGGTGGTGAAAGTGCGTCGCTAGTCTTCAACGACGCCCAAGTACCTACCAAATAATATTTGCGGGGCCAAGAAGCGACGAGAGGCCCTCCAAAAAAGAATGAATTGAAATTCATAATAAAACAACAAATTAGATATTCATGAATTAAAATAAAACTAAAATTGATCAATTCTAAATTAATGTCGTAATCACCTGCTTGATAAACAACCGTAACAAATTATTCGAACATTTAAGAAACAAAACATTAGTTTTAATTTGAAGGGCTCGAACTGAGAAGATTGAGAGGTTTCAAAGTAAAAGTGAATGTCGAAGGAGTGTAAGGAAAAGAAATGATGCTGATAAAAACGTCAGCAATCTGAATTTTTTGTTTTATCTAACTCCAACGTTTTTTTAACACAAATGTGTTAGTACGTATACAGTTGTTTCGTTTTTAAGACTGTGCTCATAAACTGCATAAAAATTTGACGAATGTCTTAATTCGCAACAAAGTTGCAAGGCGCCGCTGGGATTTATGATTTTGTAATTGAGTGCAAGAATAACGCAACTCTTGCTTATATGCAATTGCGGAGTTTCGATCTTAACGAGTTTTGATGTGATCGAATTTTGATGCCGTCATGCTATGCATGATATTTAAATTTAAAGACATTGTTATACATCATTTATTGTACTGTATGTCTTAGCTCTAGGTTTGTAGGGATGTTTTTATATAGTGGCATTGCCCATAAAATACTTTTTGGGTGTTTTTGTTTATGCAGTTTATAAACGTTGGCGACACGATGCACATCAAACTGGAACCTGAAAGTTTTTTAAAACAAATTTTAAAAAGTGTCCAAAAAATTATCAGACAGCGCAGCGTTGACTTGCAGTATTGTTTTGATGAACTTTACCATTCGTTACCTTTTTTATTTATATTTTTCAATTTTTTGTTTTCTTGTCTGTTATTGTTCATTGCTGTATGTTTGTATAACATGCGTTTGTTTGTAGTTTTGCATTACTTATTTTGTTTACTGTGCTCATTTTTAAAGCCACTTAAACGAACCACATCGATACCCAGAAGGGGGTTCTAAACTTCTAAACCGATTAGCCAAAGTTGACAATTTTCGAAATACGACTTTTCTTTTTCTTAAACAAAGATGTACCACTGCTTTGGTGGTCAAACGTGGTCAAAAACACCATTAAAATAGGTTTCACATTATTAATAAAATGTTACAAAAAAAATTAAGAAAACTAACATAAAAGTAACGAAGCATTACTAACGATGAATGCATGCAACAATTGCATGCATTCATCAAGCATCCAGTGTATACAAATGCATGCATTCATGCATACAATGTATACAAATGCATACATCAAATACATCTCAAATGAACATTTGGTAGTTCAATTCAGCGGTTTTCAAGTTTAGGCAAATAAAAAAGGTTTGAAAAATAATATTTTAATCCGTTTCAGAAAATTTGGTCCTAATAAGTGTTTGGCTAACCAATGATCCGATTAACCGGTTTCTATTGTTTTTGTTTCAAATTAGAATTTTTAGTTAGTTTGTATACTTTTGTGATTAGCATAAAATTAATTAAGTTCTTAAATAAAATTTATTTTCTATCTTTCTTATCTGGTGAACGTTCAAAATATATATAATAATTTATTGCTATATAAAAACTACATTAGCATACAAGCATTTATTTGTATATATATATATATGTGTATATATATATATAGGCATATTATATATCTTGTTATTAAAATAATCTGAGTGTGTTATCAGAACAATTAAGTCGTCTTCTGCCACGTTCTCTTCATCGTATCATGTGAATCATTAACAAATCATATCGCATCATTCACATCGCACTAATTTCTCACATCACCCACATGACATTAACTCATCATTCGCTCATCATTCACATCACATTAACTCACTCACATCTCATCGTTCACATTACATTAACCCGTTAATAACTCATCATTCTCACTATTTACGTAACACTAATTCACCATATCATTCACATTAAATTAATTCATCACATCATCCACATCACATTAACTCATCATTTACATCTCATCACATCCTCCACATCACATTAAATCATGTACATCATCAACATCATATTAATTCATCTACACCATCCACATCACATTAATTCATCACATCAAAGCATTCACATTACATAAACCCATCACTCACATCACATCACATTAACTCAGAGACTACCTAACCATAGACTGCATCACACAGTATCTTCTTGCCTTCCATTATCCTCTCCGTAATTTAATTTTAATTTTAGTATATATATTTAATTCCACTCTATTTTAAAAAAAAGTTGCTGGCGATATTAAGCCAGTAACATGACATGAAACCAGTATCCTAAGTCTCAAGGGCTGTTTTCGTTTGATCCTCTCCTGGTAGTGTAATTTCTATGCGTTCTGCATGCAGTTTGCTTTCGTAATTGTTTCAGTTTTAACTTCTTCACAATTTGTAATATTTTTCCCCATTTAAATTAATTATTTGTTTCTAGTTTTATTTAGTTTAGTAACACTGGTGCAAATAGCAATTAGCGTAATTAATTCTTAGCGATAGTCATTAATAGAGCACGTATTTGTAACGCACATCTTTTGTTGTTTTTCTGTTTTTCAAGAAATGAAATTAACGGGTTAATTTTATCAACAATAATGTTAATAAAAAAACGTAGCAGCAAAATATTTTTGATTTATTAATAGCAGCAGCAACTGAAGGTTTTAGTAGCATCTTCTTGAACAGCTAAAACGTCAGTAGAGATAGTTTGTTGTGATTTATAGCTGGAGTTGCATTATGAAATATTTTCAAAATACCAAAAATGTTGATAAGATAACATGTGTATTTTTATGTTTACAAGCACGAAAAGTTCACATCTAAATAGCAACGAGACCATCAATTGATGCTCATTAATCATGTAATCAAGATGAAATACTATCTCTCTCTCTCTCTCTCTCTCTCAAATAATTTGCACGTGTGTGCTGTGCATACTTGTGCGCGCGCCTACGTCTGCTCCTGCGCAAATTGTATATATGCGTTATTTTCTTTTTTAATTAGGAAAATTATTTTGTGTATAATGTTAAGGCCAGGTGCTGAAATTATTTATCTTCAATTTGCATCCTAATTTATTAAAACTGCACGCGAACATAAACTTGTCTAGTGCCAGATTTTTCTGCTCCATGCATGTGCTGCTAAACATTTCAACAGCCATTCCCTGAATTTTTTTCAAATAAACTTGTGAAAAATTCTTTACACTGTAAACAATTGAAATAAATATGTACATATTTAAAAAAAAATCTTTTTGCCTTTAAAAACAATTTAACTTTGACGTAAGTCGTGCATCAATTATATTTGCCTAGAAAAGATATAAAACGCTGAAATATTTTCTTTAATGTTTCATGATAATTTAAATTAATGTGTAGAAAGATGTCTAGCAGAGTTGACTAAGAAATCAAACCTGACATCAGTACGCACAATTCATCGTTGCACCGTTCACAAAACATAAAGGCATGGCCGATACATCAACAGCAGAACTGTTAAACATTGACATCTGTTATGTTACGTCCGTCCGTGCTCTGCCTTCTAGTGACGACAACGTGTGTGTCTGTGTTGTGTACGTTGTTGACTTGATTTACTGCGCTTGCGTTGGCTGTTTCTCTGCATTTCCCTGTTGGCGTGTAGGGTGGAAGGAGGGCAACCTCCACTTAGGGCAGAAATAAGCTTTCATCCCATCATCAGATCATCCTTGCATTTTTTTAAACTAACTTGCTGCATTGGGTTCAGCGAATTTTACATACACTATGTTAGACAGCATGTTTTTAAATCTATTGATATTAGTATTATTGGAAATAGGAATATTTCACACTTATAGGTATGTGTTACATATTAAGGTTGCTACGCTTGCGATTACATAAATCACTATTATGGCTACTTACTTTTTGGCATTTTAAAATTTAAATGTTCAAATAATTATATTTGTTAAGTTTAAAAATGTGCTGTATTTTAAAGATTTGTTTAGTCTTTGTTATGTGATCTAGTCACTTTGAAGTTATCGAAATATGTAAGACCGTTATAACAGTTGATTTTTGTTCAAATTGTTTCATTATTTTATAACAACGAATTATTATTTGCAGCAGAAATTAGTTCTGACATGTTTGACAAGCTCTCAACAACTGATTAAAATTCGCGCAATGTTATGTTTCTCATTTTCACGCATCTACACTAATCCATCTCACAACGATTCAACCTCACTTCACATGTTCCAGCTTATGAAATGCACGTGTGATTTCTATAAAAGTTAACATTGTACGTTCGCATCTGCTTGCATCAAAACAACAAACAGTGGCGGGCGAACAGTGCCTGATGATATGAGTCATGCGCCTGAGACAAATCCTTCAATTCTTATCCCGATCTTTTAACAATTATGAATAACTCTCTAACAAAAATGTTACGTATGTAAGTTTACGCACAAACAACAGACACACACGCACGCACACACACACACACACACATACATACATATACACATATACACACACATACATATGTTTTTTTCATTTATTCACTTACTTTGTTTATAACCGTGTGCTTGTTTTAGGAACATGCAATAGCGTTAGAGAAATGTAACAGCGAGAAGGGGTGTCATGGAGTACTTTATGTTGCGTGCGAGTTGATTTTCCAATTGAAGTAAATACTGTTTTGGAGGAATAAATAAGGCAATGAAAAAGTTATGATATAGCTAGTGATGGTTTTATGCGTCAACTGCAGTTGTAAACGTTTCAACAAAGTGCATAAGTTCGCTCACTCAACACGTCATATTCCTCGCATGCTGGTATGTGCTCCTCTGAATGGCTCTGCAAAAATATTCAATCTTATAAACGAGAAGAGAGCAGCAAAATTAATGTAGGTATGCTTGAGAATTTCATGTGTAAAAATTTTCTACATTGGTTTAATTAATTGCCAGCAATATAAAGGAAATCTCGAAATGCGCGATATGAAAATAAACATAAAAAATGTAATGAAAAGAAGCAGTAAGAAAGAAAGAGAGCAATGTGTAACAACATGTACAACAACTCATATTTTAAGAAATACTACGTACGTACATTGCATAGTACAGTGCACAGAATCTAAGAAACATAACAAACATAACAAAGCAAACATTGCATCTTCTGAGCACGAACATCTGAGCTTTACAAGTTTCAATGAGTACTTTTTGAAGTTTACGCAATGAAAACCAACAAACCAACAAATAAATAAACATACAAACAAATAAGAACACCAAATCATGCATACATTGATGGCAATACATCTACATACAATAATTTCAAATTAAGCGAAAAAAAAATCTATCCCATTCCACCACCGAGAGGATTGTTGTTAGAAGCCTATGAAGCATAATTTTCTTATGTTTCCTTTCCCAATTTTATGTAAAATTAAGTGATTTATTTAATGGCTTATGCCTTCTCCACAAATATGTAAGCATCTCTCCGAATATGTGAGCATAATGTAGGTACATCATTTCGTTCTTATGGAAACTTTATTACATGAATCCGCTTGCATAAAAATCAAATTTTTTTGGCTAGTGTAAATATATAAAGGTATAAAATCTTATTGAACATGTATCTCTGTATAAATATGAACCCTTATTAATTTATATGAATATATATATATACACACACATAGACATTCTGTAGATATATGAATTTATTTACAATCTATTATCCTATATAATATCATTTTAAAAAATCCGCTATTATTAATTATGTTGCACGAAAAATGTTGACTACGGCGTCATAATAACATTCATGCAGCTTTTGCATTTGAGTTGGAGAATAATGAAGTTTTTTGCGTGGAACATTCCAGGCAACCGCTCATCACGTTGGAGCCCTAATTGAACGGAGCATAATTTGTGCTTATCAATGCAATCAATCCATCCATCATCTGCAATCTGCCAACCGGCATGACGAATAAGTGCTCTCAAAAACACGTTATAATTGCTTGTTTTCCAAATTAATTTTGTGACAAAAATAGAATATTTGTGTTGTGCCTGGATTTCAACAAAATCTAAATAAATTTGTGTTATATGGAAATTAATGTTTTACTATTTTAATTAATTATCTATTTTTATGTTTTCACATATTTTGATGATTTCAATGCCCGGACTGGAATCTATGAAATAATTCACCGTTTCAATTTTTAATGTTGGTTGGATTCATGATATTGGACACATGACAAAGTACCTTCACAAATTTACTATTTGGTTTTTTAAACTTTGTTCCTTGCATTTAAACAAACACATCAAACTTCACGCAATGTTAACACCGAATGCAATTCCATGGGTACTTAACAATCTTTAAAAGTGCTAAAATAATGCAAAAAAATTGACAATGATTAAAAAACTTTGAAATAATTCACACAACGTAAAATAGAGAAGAAGTTGATTAATCGAGTGACCAATTTTAAAAAAATGAGATAAAACACACAAGCTAACGAGTTAGCACAGTCCAGTGAATATGAAACCAACAACAACAGAGTTAATAACGATGCCACCGACAATTTGGGAATGAAAAGAGATGATTAACTTACGAATCCATATCCTTTGCTCTTGCCAGAATGTCTGTCCGTGATGACGACTGCCTCCTCGATAGCTCCAAACTGGTCGAAGAACTTTTGGAGTGACTCGTCTGTGGTGTGGTAGGGTAGGCCTCCCACAAATATTTTTGTTAGTGTCGTATCTCTATAGAGTATAGACATCGTCTTCTTGATGTTTCCACCGTTCTTTCTTATTTGTTAAAATTTTTTAAATGTTTCTGAAAAAATTTATCTCTCTTTGTTGTTTGAATGAGCAGAAAAGTAGCTCGTTCTTTATATTCAAATGTTGTTTCCTTTGTTTGGGCTGGATGATTAATTGCTTTTTCAGTTATTATTTACAATGTATTTTTAGTTTAAAAAAATGTAGTAGACTCAAATTGTTTTATGAGACTTGGAAATAGTTTCAATAAGATGGTAATAATTTTTTGTAGAATGAATGAAATTAGTTTAAAGAAAAATATTTAAACATTTATTAAAATGAAATTAAATTGGAATATTTTCACCGACAACAAAATGAACAAGAATTATAAACAAATCATTCAGTGAGGAAGAGATTGAAAATCCTCTTATCAGATGCGGTGATAAAAGTTAAAATCGATGAACAACAAATAACAAAAAAACTATTTATATATTTTTCTGTTTTTTAATTATTTATTTGCATTTATTTTTATTTATAACCGGATAATATGCATGAATTAAATTGTAAATTACAGTGAAACTCGATGAAAAAGACTGAGTTAAAAAAATTTCTAACATCCAGCTCCTATCAATGAATGCTTATATACTGGCTCTCAAATGAGAAACAGCCATATGGATAAATAAAACACATACATGTGTGCTATATATATATATATATATATATATATGTGTGTGTGTGTGTGTGTGTGTGTGTGTGTGTGTGTGTGTGTGTGTGTGTGTGTGTGTGTGTGTGTGTGTATACGACTTATTCACTCATATATTCATATATTATATGTATAGACTACATATAAATTTATTATATATTTATAGACTTTTTCATTTAGTTAGTGAATTATTTATTAGGTTTGTTCTAGTTTATCCTCTACTATTCGTTTTATTTTCATCTTCATACGTTTCTATCTTTATAACTAATAGAATAAGAATAGGTCTATATGTTAGGGTGTCTCGTCAATGTATGAAGAGAATTATTTGTAAAATTGAATGCTGATCAAAAAAATATATAAACATTTTAAAATTGGGTTTGAGGGCCTACCGCTCTTTAAATTTGAGCAAATTTGGCGTTCTTACATATCAACACTTCAAATAAAAATTTACTGGAACTGAAGCACATCCATCTAATGTTAAATGTAAATAACGAAAAAGTAAATGCACCATCGCAAAGGTTTTTGAAAATTTTTTCTCAATTATGAATCATGCCACTTTTCCAGACAGTGTTACATGCTGCTCCGTCACACCCCACGCAAATCACATTGTTTAAGTTCCAGCCTCGATCTTCTAATAAGGTTGTGATCGAACTACAAATTTCTTTTGTACTACCATCCCTCGGTGTTGCATGTCCAAAGTAAATTGAATCAGGTCTTGCTAAAATTGAAATAAGCTCACTACAACATTTTGCGATAATAATAATATCCTAATATTTCATTTGTCAAAGTTCTATTTTTTTGGCCATCAAAATAAATACTTTTTATAATAATAGTTCTTTAAACATTTTGTGTGGAATTTGAACGAGTTTGCGATACAGCTCTGTGAATTTCATTTTTATCAATGAACAGAGAAAAATCTCTATCTAAAACTAGCCCAATATTGACTGAAACCGCAGATGCAGCAGCGGCAGCAGATCTCGTCGATAAACCACATCTGTCGCATACCTTAGCAACTGTTGGCAACAACATTGTATTCCGATCTGCTATTGAAGTCAAGGAGGTGTTTGTCAGGGACAACTCTGTCTGTTATCAAAGGTGTTTCAGAATATTCTTTTTCGCCATCATCATCTCAAATTGTTGAGATAGAATCTTCAGTTTCTTGAGCTAAACATATTTTTTTGTTGCTGCTTTTGACTCTTTAATTTGTCTTTGTTGTATTCTTTTCAGCTTAGTCGTTTGTTTTGTTTTTATCAACATTACTTATTACCTTTTTTTTCACTTCTCTGATACTTTCCTGGGTTTTAAACAAAAACAAGATTCAATTACACCGCATTTATAAGCAGAAATATATTTATATATGTATTATCGAGAAGCGACTAATTTGGGGTTTATTTTCGATTCCGATTTGACAATCTATAATCATATAAAAATGTTGTCAAAATCATGTACTTTACTTTACTTTACTTTACTGTACTTTACTTTGCTAGTTATATTGCATTCGAAGGTCTCTGCAACAGTCTACAATACAGACATTGATACAGAGCTGCAAAAATTGTTGTCGGTGGTGGGAAATTCGACCATGTGACGCCCATCTTGAAGGATTTTCATTGGCTCACAATGAAAAAATAAAATCTTCGTAATGATGTACAAGGCTGTAAATAGACTCTTGTCAGATTATTTGGCAAAAAAATTAAAAAAAACTACTTTTTTCAACTGGTTTAAAATTGGGATCTGATTCCAGCAACCTGCTACTGATCTCCGTGGCACTGTTCTCAGTTAAATATTTTGAGGCAACCCTGTTAATATATTTAAAACGGTTAAACATATCATAAAAATAACTCTGATAAACCATAAGCCGGTGATGAGCAAAAAGAATTGGCTTAACGTGGTTGTATTTAAAGCCACCTGAAACCAACCTTGCAGCCCAATTTTGAACCGACAGCAGTCTAGCCATATTTACACAGACTGACCGCAATATAGACTATTGCAATAGTCTAATTTTGAGTGAATCAAAGAATGAGCAAAATATTGAAGAGTATACTTGTTTAAAGAACGTTTGATGAGCATAAGCCTAAGCAAATATCTAGAGCAATCTTTCGTAGCTGCCCTAGTGTGCACGTTAAAAGACATGTTATTATCAAAAACAAATTCCAGGTTGCGTGCAAATGTGCAAAATTCAATGTCAGAAGTGCCAAGTCTGATAGACTCAATGTTCATTTTTTCAATTACTGCCTAGTGCCAACCGGTAAAATCTGAGTTTTTTGATTGATTCAATTTAAGCCTATTTGCCATCGTAGACTCATTAATTTCCAAAAGACACGACCTGAGTCTACAGACCAAGTCATCATAACGACGAATATCATCAGCAAAATCGTGATGTTTAAAATTCTGTCAATGATTTATAAAACATCAGCAGTGTAAAACACAAACAGGAGGAAGCCGAGAACCGACCCCTGTAAAACACCATGGACACAGTTTCAACAAGTGTCAAGTTAGATCTAGACAGAACTTGTTGTGTACAACCAGAAAGATATTAATTAATCCATTGAAGAACAACACCTGATACTTCAAATGAATTTTAGAGCTAGGGTAAAAACAATTAAAAGCAGAATTCATGTCTAAAATAGCAAGCACGCCACATTCTAGGCATCTATGGAGGCATACAAATTAGAAGAAACATCCAATAAAGCCATCTCAGTCGAATGGAACTGGCGATAACCTAATCGGTAAACAGGAAAAAACTATTGGGATTTAAATAAGTGATAAGTTGCCGAAACACTATGCATTCAACAAATTTAGACAAAAAGGTCAACCTTATTATTATAATTACTACTACTACTATTACTACTATTACTACTACTACTACTACTACTACTACTACTGCTACTGCTACTGCTACTACTACTACTACCACTGACTAACATTAAAATTAATGTAGTTGCATTTCGAACTTTTGTGAACTTTTCAAACTTTATTTTTATTTGAACTTTATTGAACTATTATGAAATTTAACAATTTTTCTGTAAATTTTACAATTTTTTACCATGCAAAAAAAGTTAAGTTTTAAGCCGCTTTTGAAACTTTTGAAGTGACAATCCCGGTTGAATGCCTGTGGTGCTGCTGTATGACAACTTACAATTTGTTTTTTCAAAATTTACAGATGCTGCAACAACACCTACGTTTGCAAAAGATAATTCATATTTAAACCTTCTACCCATAAACTAACAAATCACTTAATGTTATAGATGTAATGGATCAAAACATTTTACACCTGCTGTCAAAACATTGCTGATATTTTGATGGCGTGTGTGTGTGTTGTGTGTGTGTTGAAGAAATGTGTAAATGATACTTCTAAATCATTTGTAAAACAGTAACTAATTATAATATTATTAGTTAATTAGTTATTATGCAAACATTTCTTTTTAACTATTTATATAAACAATCATAAAAACACCGGAATTCATTATGTGTTTTAAAAAATTTTCTTCACTTCTTGTGACCTACAACTATTAGTTTTAAAACTTTATTCTCCTATAAACTGTTATTGTTGTTGAACGTTTGAAACTGGGAAAATTTTCAAGCATTCCTGCTTATAAGATTTTTAGACACATTAATATTGACGATGCTACATGTCGCATAACGCTCAAACAGCTGCTGAATTTTTGAAAAATTATAAAGAGTTGATAACATTTTTTACCGTAAAGCTAAATGGGCTCATTGCTGCAACTACCAGCAGTTTGCTACGAAACTACATTGTAGAAAAGTTTTTATAACAAAAAAAGACAACATTAACTTTTTGGTTAAATATTACATAAGTCTTAATTCAGCAAATGTGAAAAAATGAGCTTAACTCGCAACTCGTTTTTTGAAAATTTGACAAAGATACATCACAATTAATCAATCATATATTCTCAATTTCTCCAGCCAGTTAACAAATGTAATCCTCCTTGAAAGATATTATTTTTCAAATAAAAATATGAACATTTTATTCTTGCAATGTTTTATTGAGATAAATTGTTTATTGACACTTTATGAAAATTAATCGCTCTTATAAAAGAATCATTTTTCCTTTGAATGATGAGAGAGCGAAAATTCTTACAGTCCGGTTAAGAAAACACGAGTAACATGTATATCCTGCTGTAAGAAGACCAGCGCATATCATTCGGCTAAGCCTAATAAAATAATGTTTATCTTTGTAGGATTTAATCATAATAAACTTGCTTTAATGAAGTATTTTTGATTTATTTATTTCAGTAAAAATAAAAAATAGAATTATTAATCAATTGATGAACTTTTCATTTACCTGTTTGTGCTATCCACATCAACATGTTTGCGTTGTGAGGTTTTTAAAGAGTGTGAGGTAAAAAAAAGCCTAAAAAAAGTTCTATAAAAATGAAAGCAACTGGCATCATTTTTTAAGTCTGCAGAAAGTTAGTTTTAACACGATGTCATAAACATTTTAAACAGACGAAATATGTATTGTATGTCTGTATGTGTATCTTTATAAATATAACCGTTTGTGTTTGTATGTTTGTAAAATAGTTTGTGTTTGTACGTGAGTGTACGTATGCATATATTCGGTGAATGTACAACAGGAATTTCTTGCGCACAAATCATGAAACGTAAAAATTTCTATGCATAATTAGTCATATATACGTTTTCTATATACTGTATATCAATTTACAATTATAAATGTGTATTATATACACAAATGTATATTCATAAATGTTTATTTTTCATAATTATATAGTTATTTATGCACAAATTTAGATAAAAGCTGTCTAATACAATTTAAATTTTCAGCCTTCTGATCCAAGTGTTCACACATTCATTTCCATTGTTAGAAATTAATTCCAAACATACATTCGAACAATATTCTCCGTCATATTTCCACACATTCATGTTCGTCCAGAAGAGAATAATTTTTAGAGCACACAAAACACAGAGAGCCGATTTATCATTTAATATCTGGGTAGTATATGTAGAAGAGCAGCAGACAGAACAGACAGGAGATATGTTTTGTTATTTAGTTGGAGAATATATTTAGGCACCTGTTGGCTCTACATCATCTTGCATAATCATCTCAACACACGTTTACTTCGATATTTTTTATATAACGTTGAAAAATCTTAGAAGACCGCTTTGGTTTATTCAAAATATACTCCGGGTTAGTTATGCGCAAGAAATATCTCTGATTCAAAAATAGTTGTATACAAATTTGAATTAAAATGCTATTTTTTTATTGTCAGAGTTACTTTCGAAATTGGAATTGATGTAGTAGTTTAATTCATCTTTTTAATTGATGTAATTAGGATACGGTACATTTATTTATTTTTTGCCTGCAAGAATAACGAAACATTATCTACAACAATTACGATTACATCTATCGATGTTATTTGATGTTTATACTTAAAGATCATTCGATGTTTTAACTTCGATAAAAAAAACTTGGCATTTTATTATTACTGACGATAGCAGATAGTTTGTGTTGTAAACACTTTTTGAATTTGTAGAGTCTACACACTCCCACAACCACTCACAGACAACCACACACACACACCAAACACCCACACACCAAACACCAAACACCCACTAAACACACATAAACATAGACAACAATAAACTGTTACACGTGCACATGTGATAGGAATGAGACATGAATGTATGAATGAACAAAAGGAAATGTGGATGAATAAGCAGGCCTACATGGGTGAGGGGTGCCTGTTGATAACTAAAAAATTGAAACGACGGTCTGCATTTAAACTGTTCACACTGCAGCGAAACATTGCAACTTTGATAGTTGATAGCGAGATCTTATAAAACAAAAATTTTTGTCATTTTTGTGTTATTTTATTACCAAAAAATATTATCTCTTTGATTTATATGCAAACCAGAATCCGATCAACACATGAATATTTCCATGATTGCTTGATTGTTATAGTTCAGTTGTTGTTATAGTAAAGAAGTATGCACTTGCATGGTTGTGCATTTAATAAGCAGATGAGCAACGAAGGCTTCAATCGCTTCCACTACTTACAAAATAATTCTACAATCATTATAGATACGCCTTTATTGAAAAATTCTGAAATTGAAAAGACAAAAAAAACTATTACATTTTCAGCTTTACTTTTGTGCCAATATTTTTCCAAACTCAATGTGACCAAGTTGATCGAATTAATAATAGTGGTACAACTTATCTGTGTTCATTTGAATAACAAACGTGAAATACAATAACAACAACAATAATAGTAATAGTTATTATATAAATAATAAGAATAATAACAGCAGTTATAATAACAATTGGTTTATTAACAACAATAATTTAAATATCATAAAAACTAATGTTTGAAGTTAAATTAAAAGTTTGATTCTAACAGACATTCACCACTTTGTTTAAAATACCTATAAATACAAAACTCAACATATTTTTAGTAATCCTATTTTTGTGAAAAAATAAATAAATCTTTGATTACAACTGATAATTATACATTAGTAACTATCATATCAACTAACGAATGGAAGATATTACGTCATGTTAACGCCACACTGAGGATCATTTGATACCTACATATATCGCCAGGTTACATACACATCTATATATACGTGATTGACAAGCGATGTGAAACTGTAGATTCAATTCATATACTCACACGTTTGCTCTTTATCCCGAAATGCCATGTTATAACCATTACACTTTCTTGCTAAGAACAAATTTTTTAAGCATTAATTTGCATTTATTGAGTTTAATAAATGGGATTTGGTTGCAATTTTGACGTGTTTTAGCTTGAAGAGATTATTTCAGCGTTGATTTTTTTTATTTTATTATAGTTGAAATGGATTTTCACGATAAACCAAAAAAAATATTCATTCCAAATATTTTATATTTTTTAGTATTTTATAGGATATTATTGTATGATTTATTTGAAATTGTAAATATCAGCGTAGTCGTCATGCTTGCACAACGGACAACATCTCAGAATATTTGTCAAGTTCTTTATTCAGTGTGAGTTGAGTTGAAAAAAATGAAACAACGAAAAACGCGATAGTTATTTTTATTTCGTTCAAATTGTGGCAATCTGTAAAGTTTAAAAGTCAGATTCATTGGAACAGTTGTATCATCTTTAAACGTAATTCGTTCGTCAATAAATATGAAATCACATTAATCTGCACCGTCAGTTCGTTCGTTCACCACTTTTTTTTTATTATACAAACTTTTAATTGATAATTTCACAATAAAATAAAGCTAGTGTGTGTGTGTGTGTGTGTGTGTGTGTGTGTGTGTGTGTGTGTGTGTGTGTGTGTGTGTGTGTGGGGTATGTATGCATGCATGCGTGTGTGTGTGTGGGGTATGTATGCATGCATGTGTGTGTGTTCATAAAACCCATAGAATAAAGAAGAAAGACAACATATAGGTATATGAAAGCAACATTTTGTCCAAAAAAAATAACATTAATGTATGCTGGCTGATTCATAAAAAAAGTTTCCACGTTATAATGCTAACATAAATTTAAAATATTTATTGAGCAAGTAGAAATAATTTTTTTCTAATATTTTGTAAAATTGCGTCTAACCACTAAAACAATTTGAAAGAATTAATCATTTGAAGATCAGTCAGATGAATAAATTCAATTGAAAAAATATAAAGTTAAATAAAATTAGATTTGTTAGTAGATCAGTTAAAGACAGCACAGCTGCATATACCATACAATCGTAGCGGGCAATGCAACTATGTTCAAGTTGAGAATGTTTACAATGAACGACTGACATACACACATACACACATACCACACACACACACACACGCGCGCGCGCGCGCACGGATCAAACAACAAACATTCAGGCAGACGTGTTTTCATCTCATTTTAGCGTTTTCATTTTTTTAAATATCTTCAGCGCTTTTTCAAAAACTTTCAAAAGCAGTTTTATTTTCATTAACGTTGAAAAACCACATTTTTTTTTGATTTTTCTGACAAATGGTTAAAATTTAAATTATTAAAATATCTATTCTCAGCATAATTGCTAGATTTGTAATGTAAAATGTTGATAAGAACTACCAAGAAGATAATAATAGCTAGATGATAATGACAACAGAAATGAAATACACAGACACACCAATCATCACATCCCATCCACACGACCAGCCAGCCAGCTGTGAGACGTGCGTTGCAAACAATTAAACAACTTATACACTGAAATAATGTTAACACGTTTGAAAGGTTTACATACAAGTGAACCAACGTCGAGGTGAACCAACGAATGAACCAAAGTGAATATGAACCAACGTGAACATGTTCACACATATCAATGTTTCATCTTTGGAGTGAACCATTTACATACTTCATCATTAAAAGATTAAAACTTTTTCTGTCAATTAGTACGTTATTATATTAGTATTGCATACATTAATTTTAAAAAATAAATTTTAATTATTAACGATTTTGAAGACATCTTGAAAAATATATGTCTATGACATATAATATATATATATATATATATATATATATATATATATATATATATATATATATATATATATATATATAAGTTGGGATGCAAAGACATGCAAAAACTTAAAACTATTTAGCTATAAGGACAGTTAAAAATATACATTGATGTATATTGAAAAAAATTAAAAAAAAAATAGAATGTGTCGAAAAAAATGGCTTGCATACATCATGTTGTTGCTGCTGTGTTTGCAGATGTTACTGGGAAATCATAATCGTTAGTAGTAGCACTTGTTGAAAATTTGTTCAAGATTTCTCTCTGTTCCAGCTGCAATGATGAAGAAGTTATTGTATGTATTAACATGTGTGATGTCCACTCTAAGAATGGAGTGGCGTGTGAATGATGTAGCGGAGTGCACACTGCTTGCTATATGAATATCACACATTCACTAGCTACGCACTTTTTAACTTTTACTGAATAATTTTTTTAAATATATAAATAATTTTAATATAGAAAATGTGTTCTTACTGTAGTTAAAAAACTGCTATGTAAAAAAACAAGTGCAATTAATAAATAAAATATGCAGTGAAGTTGCTGAGACAAGTGAATTAATTATAAATACTCCGTGATTAACTGCTGCTGCTGCTCTAGATTAATGAGATCAGAGCAACTGACGTGGAGGGCTCCTTAGTTAAAAATTTGGTAATTTGTCTGAAAAAGATATTCATTCGTCTGCGTGTTGTACAGCTTTGCGGCTATGAGCTTATAACGTTGGCATCTTTTCATTGATTTGATTTTTAATGTTTTAAACTGATGTGAATCATTATAATGAAAATAAATTTTCCTTTATTTTTCAAATGTTTTTTTCTGAATGACGCATGAAATATGCAATAAACGTAATGGTGAAATATTTGGAATAAAAGAAAAACAATAGCCTCACCAGTTCTTTATTGGAAGGCAGGCGCGATAGGAAGTCGAGGAGTTCGTTGTTTGGTACTTTCTGGCCCACCCTCCACCTCCTGCTGAACCTCATCACCCCCCAGATCATCAGCAGGACCCTCAGCGACAGGCAGTAGAAGACGCACGTTGCCACGCACAAACAAATTATTCCAAGCGTCGAAAGCCACGGAACTTTCCACAAGAATGCACTGCACGGTATGAAATAAGATTAATTTAAATTGTTATTAAAAATTCTTTCCGTTTGTAAGTATTAATTTTTATAGTTTGCTGGGTATGTATATTTGTAGCTCAACTGTAAACCGATTTTGCTAAACTTACGATACCGTATCTTGAACTGGAAAATGGTTTAAACAAATTCGACTTTATAAGCAAAATGTATAACTATATACACTTTATGCACTGGGAGAGGTACAGAGCATTACAGAAACATTTTGCACGTACAAGTTTGTCCTGAATGAAACTGCAGTTGCATACGATTTATATTAAACAGGCAATCAATTAATGATGGAATGTGTTGAGAGAAGAGCTGCTCAATAAAACAAACGCTGAATGAAACAGACAAAAGTCTTTAAAGTTAAATTATATACACCACCTAACGAGGAAAAACAAACTTTTGTATTCGTTCTCCGAGAGAGGCCACGGCGTCCATGGTCTCCTGCACCTGCAAGCACACGTCCTGAATGTTCTGCAGCCTCTCACGAAGCGATTGAGATTTTTTGTCATCCTGTGGAGTAAAAATAATTTGTGGATGTTACAGTAAATAGATATTTTACTAATAAGGCTTTTTATTGTGTGAAATAATTTTTGTCAGATAGGTTCAGAGTAAAATCCGTTCTTAGTAAGTTTCTACTTTCCAAAAGGTGTGTAACGAATTTCAATCTAATCGTTCCATTTTGGAGATCTCGTGGCGAGTCAGTGGTAATGACAAATCGTTAATATATTGTTGTTGTTGTTTTTGAGCGTTTCTTCGGCGTTTCAGCACAGTCATCAGCACAGGCTGTATCTGTGCGCCTCTTTTTTTCAAATAAATAAAGTGGAAGATGAATTATTTATATTTTGTTGATCAATTCAACTTTCGTGAAGAAATATTCCAAAGTCAGACTTTGGAATATTTCTTGCTTATTTACTGGGATATATATTTAAAACTCTAGATATGCTATTTTTAATTCAAACGCATTTTCCAATTAATAAATATATAAATGAAATAGTAATTAATAAACATACTCAAGACAAAACTATAGGGTTTCAATTTAGTTAACCGTTAGCTTTTTCTTTCATTTATATATAGGCTAAAATAGAAAAGGCTGCACGGCAATATTTGTTTTTCATATTGCCAGACAATTTTGTTATATGGAAAATTAATTAGTACAATTTCGAAGTAGGATATTGTGTAATAATTTTGTGTTGAATGAAATCTTATTTATCTTTCGTTGTTTTAAAATAACAAGACAGTTCTTATAGTGTTCCGGTTTTGCATAATTTCACCCAGGGTAAAATTTGAACGTCATGTTGAACGAGGTAGGTAAATTTGCTTATTTATAAAAAAAAACATCGGTTGGCATTTCTTAATTCAAACTATTACTGTCAACTGAACTAGTTGAGTTAACATGCCATGTCAGTATTTGCGAACTGTCAAGTAAATGTCTTGCATGTGATTTTGCCGTTTTCGAGTAATTCTGAGTCGTTGACATAAAATACAAGTGCCAAAAAGTAAATATTTTTACGATGAATATTCATGTGGCGTTTTGATCCAGTAAAACAGTTCGTACTTCATCTCACGCCTCAGTATCATGTTCAATGGGGCTACTGTTGAAATACTAGGATCACTGTTGTTGGGGCGCGTTGAACTGTATTTTTGTAAGTTGAAAATCTAAAATTGGGCTTGTTTTTGAAGCAGATTCTAACACGCTAGGTGGCACGGTGGTGTAATGTTACTAACTATTACATGCTGGTTGCTGTGAGAGAGGCCCTAGATGGTGAAACTGAGTCCGTTCTGCTGACCGCAATACAATATCGATCATGCTTTATTGCTTAGATATTGTTAAAAATTCAACAATGCTCAGAATTTTGCGTTGTCAGAATTTACTGCTGGTTACAATAATGGAAAATGTTTGTTTGAAGAATACATCTATAAAGCTGTCGCGTTATATACCTACTATGGTTTGAATCCAAGAGAAGTCTGAGCGTTGGCATACCAATTTGGAATCAGGAATGGCAAAATTATTCGGAGCAATTGGAAGGTAGATGAAATGCTGAGGCTGATTGGTTTTCTGGATTTATGAACAGCTCTCAGTAAGAGAACCTGAGGCGACATCTATTGCTCGGGCGTTAAGCTTCAATAGATCTATGTGTCCGCATTTTTTGAAAACTTGTCAGCAGTTTCTGAACGTTACAAGTTTGGAGGCTATCTATAACATCGATAAAACAGGAATTATTTACTACGGGTCATCATCCGTGCAGAACTGCTGCTCAGAAAGGTATGAAGCAAGTTGGTGCTATTGTTTCGCAAGAACGTGGTCAGTGGCCACTTTGGCTGTTGTGGTTAATGTTAATTAATAAATTTTTAGATTTGAAATTATTTCACTATAGCAATAAAATTGCTTAGCAACGGGAGTTAATAAACATTGGTTCAACGTGCGCTGATGTTTGGATGTTTGTGGCAACATGCCCCATGAACGGGGTAGGTTGGACCGCATGACAGGCCTGCAGATAAACCCTTCTATTGTCAAACAAGCATGTTAGAATTGAATGTATTTTTTGAGGTACGTAACGGACAAAATTGTACACAATAATGACACATTTCAAATAGTTTTAATGCAATAATAAAAATTTAATAAATTGAAAAAATTGGTTCAACATGTTAATTCTCTCAACAATTATTAACTACCTTTGAATCAATCATAAAAACAGAAACAATTTTTATTGATTGAATGTTTGTTGATCAACATACTTCCAACCTTATTGCTTGATTCGGCTTCTTTTTTCTCTTGTTCAACATATTCCTTTCGTTTGAAATATATATATTTACTGTTTTTTATTAATATCCAATTAATTAAATTAACAAATTCTCTGAAAAAAGATTGAAAACGTTATTTAAAAAAGATTCATCGTCAGCGTGTTTAAATGTCACCACAATTTCAATTTAAAATGTTATTTAGAATTTATAACCGAGTTCAAATTAACTATCAACTGCAAACAACAACTGTAACCATTACTTGGGGAATCTGTTCCTTGAAGTACTCGCCGCTGAACTGGAGGAAGAGGAAGTTTTTGAGGAGGATGAGAAGGAGGGAGATCGGCACCATGTACAGTTCAATGTTCCACACGATCAACATGAAGACCTAGATCAATTGACATGCGACCAACATTGAGTCTTTTATCAGCGTGCAATCATCATACGACGCATAAATTAACGTACAGCCAGTCTAGGCAGCATCATCAACATGCAACCAACACGACCACCAACATCAACATGCAACCAACATAAACAACATCATCAACATGCAACCAACATAAACAACAACATCAACATGTAACCATCATAAGGAACAACATCAACACGCAACACCATACACTCACAGCAACGTGCATCATAAACTACACGTACATCAATCATCATCGCTGGTCTTTAATTTATTTCTCAATAAAACACTCAATGTTATAACGTTGGAACACATTTTTTGGCAAAATTAAAAAAAGACTGATTTAAAAAAATAAAACTAATAATAATAATAAATTCGAATACAACAAAAACCATGCCAAAAATGATGACGAAAATATTTATTGTTTGCACTGAATAAAAATGCCATGATGTAAAACTTTGTATGAGAATATTATTGCTGATAGAAAAATATTGTCAACCATGACAGCTGTCAGTATGACGTCACGTGAAAATTTTCAACGTACGACAACAACTTGACATTGAAAGAACATTTTAGTGTGGACGAATAATAACGATGATGATGATGGTATCAAGAGCCAAGATGTTGACTGTGATTGTAAAAAGAGGCAAACAGAGATGACAGAAATTGTTGTTTGCTTATCATCCGCTGCTGGTAAATGTTATTGCTTCGTATTTGAGCAACATCCAACATGACAACGGAAACTAACTTCAACGACAATAAAAGATTCATCGGTACAGGGATGTCATTGTGTGAAGAAAATTAAAAAATCATTAAACAAAAAATAAAATATTAGAAAATTTTTATTGATGCAAGTGAACAATTTTTCGTTTTTTTATTTTTGCTTTGTTTTAATAGCGTACCAAAAAATAAACATTTTAAATTGATATTTCAACCTTTTAAGACTAAAAACAGCATGAAACGCGTGAAAAAATCAGACGGTTGGTGTTACGCTAACACTGTTGAGCAGAGGTCTTGAAGAATTTGTCTTCTTTCCGAGATTTAAAATATCATTTTTGGCAACATTCTAAAAACTTCATCCAGTCAATGTTAATTTGATCAGGACTGTTATTTATCGCTTGCGTTGTTTGTAAACGAAGCATTATTCCTATCTCCAAGGCAATCAGTTGGATTTTTGTGGATGGAGCCTTAGGTAGCCGAAGAAGCTGATGTTCATTTTGCATGCACATTTCATGTTTTTTTTGCAATAACTTTTTAATTGTACTGCACTTAATAATTTGTGAGAGCTTTCAGAATGTCACTTAATCATTTAAAAATTTTGTGTAATTGTCGCTTATAAAAGCGTCAAGAGGTATATCACTCGAGAAGGAATAGAAACCCAAACATATTTTCAACGGGTGTGACAACATTTCGTTACAACAGAACACTTCAACAATTTCATCAAAGCTAAATAAAAACTAACATAAAATATTGAACACCGAAATTAAAAAAAAAACATCAACACAGTGCATATAAAAACAAGGCTTCAAATGAAACCAATTTGTTTAAACCTTGACCAAAAAACCACAAAAATAAATAAATAAACGCCACATACATACGCAAATGCAGTATGCACACACACACACACACACACAAACACACACGCGCATACCACACATACACACACACACCACGCACACACACGCACACACAGACTGACTGACAATGAAAGCAAGTAGACTCCTGAGTGGATTGTCCCAGTTAAAACAGGAGTTGATGAAGTTGGTGAAGGAGACGAAACCTTCGACCAGTTTGAAGACGCGGTCGATGTTAGTTTTCATCGTCTGTGAGAAGTGTAATCAGATATGAAACAGAAGCATCAACTGCTATGTTGACTTTTCCTTTTTTATTTTTTAGGAGCGAAATAAAAAAATGGCAACAATTCGATAAATGTGTTGTTATCTTTAATCGTTCTCAGTGTTTTTGATATTTTTTTTCTTTAATGCATTAATTACTATTTTGCAAAACCGGCAGTATTACAGGCTAGCAGAAACATTGTCAACTAAATCATTGTTATTCTCGTCTTATTTGTTAACTAACAAGAATCCAATCATTTATAACAAAAATTGCTGAAAAACACCTCTGCAGTTGAAAAAATTGTTTGAAAAATGTGAAATTTTACAATTTTTCTGAAATAATGAATATGTGCTTTAAAATGGGGAACGATGAATCAAGCTGAGTTGTTTGGTTCTTTGAAATTAAAACGTCCTAAAGTTAATTTGTTTGATTGATATATTGAAATGAGTTGTAAGCAATTTAAGTCACCGTTAATTTGAAAGTGGCGTCGGGCAGGATTATCTTGTCTTCCCTTGGGTGCATCGTGCGGTAGACTGCCTTCACCTGTTTCGAAGTTCTTTCTCAATTACATATCTAATTAAGTTATTACTTTAAGGTTTATGATGAAACTCAAATTAAAAATCTACTTTTAACAAAAACTAGTTTGTTTTAAAATAAAATAATAAAATAATTAATAAAAAAGACAGAAAATGCTTTAACTGTGTGAAACAAAATTCAAAAAACAAAATTCAATACGAAGAGTGAGTTAGCAGGGGTAGATACAAAGAAACACAATTGTGAACATCCAAAAAATTAAAGGTACTCAAATTAAACAAAAAAAAACATAAAACAAAAAAACAAACATAAAACAGACGCATCAAATAGCGAAGAGTAAATAAAAACACGCGCAGCAACACAAACATGGGCGAGCGAGCCTCATAAAAACACAAACAAGAAAACAATCTTGCACGACACGTATGCAGGGAGACACCGTAACAACTAAGAGAGAAATGGAAAGAGAGGCCAGCCAGCATACGAACGTGGTTGTAATAGAGGGTGCCCTGGATTTCGATGGAACCTTTCGACGGTTGTTGGAGTTTCTTGTCTTTCAACGCGTACCACTTCCGTCTGTCGTTCTCTATCTGCAGACCGTTGCGATGTGAAATTTTATTTACCTCATTTTCATTTTGTATTATATTTATATTATTTATATTATTTATAAATACTTATTATTTACTTATTTATATTATGAATTTGAAAATTTACATAACCATGTAAATTAGGTTTCAAGTTTTTGTACAAGTCGTAACAATGTAATGATTTTTCGACCACAAAATGTTTTATTAGTTATATGTTTACGTTATCATAAACAGCTAGCAAATACCCATCGAGCCTTCATAAACGAACGTCGTAAATTAAACACGCGAATGTCACACAAACAAATGAAAGGCATACCAAGTGCAATTAAATACAATGTAGGTCAGGCATTATGAAATATCCTTCATTTTTAAATAAAGTGATGAAACACTTGGTAAAATTAACTTTGTGAGATAACAAAAAAAAACATCCGAGCACAGTAACAAACCCTCAACAATGGAATGGCAACTTTCCCTAGGAATTCTGACTTCTTGTTCTTATCGTAGTCCAGCACTGTGATCTCCAACACGGAGTGGATGTCGGTTACCTGACTAAAGAGGGAATGGAATAATTATTTTTATGAAACTATTCAAACTATTAATAATAACTTGATTTTAACTCAACATTTTCAACAACTCAAAAGGCTGACCATTATTTTATTTTATATTTTCAAAATTAAAAACCAAATCCGGTACTTTGCCTCTTACATTCTATAGACTGACATTAAATTTGCCAACACAACCGCATAAAATCTGATAGAAATTATATGTATAATAAGATAGTATTAATGCATATTCACTTAAAGACACTGAACCGCGCAAGAGATAACAAAGATCAAAATAATTTTTACACACACACACTCACATACACACACACACAAACACACACACAGATGATCACATACGCACATATAAAACTCTTTTCCCCATTTGGGATTGAGTGTTTTGAAATCTGTGTGCGTTTGCAGACGAGTGTTCACAAGTTCCACCACGCAGAATGGATCACTCTTCCCGCCAATATCTGCTGCTGCCAGTCCTCGCGCTTGATGTACTATGGATGAATGAATGGATGGATGGATGAAGATGGTTGAATGAATGGGTTAAAGAATGAAAGGTTGAAAAAAGAGAGATAAACGAATAGATAAAAAGCTGGATGGATGGTTAGATGGGTGGATGGATAGATAAACTGATGGATGGATAGAGGAGTGGATAGATAGATGGATTGGTGAATGGTTGATGGATGGATGTGTAGATGGATGAATAGATGGGTTGATGGATGGATAAATATGGATGGTTGATGGATAGATGAATAGATAAATGAATGGATGATTTATGTATGTGTGGATGAAATAAAGATAGATAGGTGGAGAAATTTTTAAAAACCATCAACACAGCTCATTTGGCAAAAGTAATAAATTAATATTTTTTACTAGTAAATTTTTATGAAAGGCCATGAAAAAGAAAAATTAAGTACATGGTTTTTTGGATTTTTAGCGATATAAATGGTTAGAAGAAATATTTGAAAACCTTTATTGCAAGTATGAAAGCTAGTTTCAGCAGAGTAGTAGTGGACTTATAAACAAGCAAATAGAACTAAAAGGAAGACAGAGAAATTTTGTCTATAACACCAAAGAATCGTTCTATCGGAGTTTTTTTATTTGTACATGAACAAAAATAATTACTTTTAATGTTGAAGATAAAGTAATTGACTTAAAATTAGTTAAAATACCAAAATGGTATCTAATATGACGATCATTTTTAAAAACACAAAATTGGGTGATGCAGATTATTCTGTTATATTGGTGAAAAAAAGTTATATATAATTTTTTCATTTCAGAAAAAATCTTTTTAAACGAAAAAACAAACATTTGCCATTCTGGAGGTGCCAAAATTTACAAAAACTGAAATATTGAAGCAATCAACAGACGATACATTTTAGCCCACACTTGCAAATATATGTAAAAAGATGGTTGTTATCTAAATTTTTAATTTAAAGTGAAAGTAGTATTAGTAGTAGAAAGTAGTAGTAGTAGTAGTAATAGTAGTACTAATAGTAGTAGTAGCAGTAGTAGTAGTTAGTAGTAGGCATAGTAGTAGTAGTAGTAATAGTAACATTGGTAGTAGAATAGCAGTAGTAGTGGTAATAGTCGTCTTAGTAATAGTAGTAATAGCAGCAATAAGAGTAGTAATTTAGTAAATAAAATGCATATTTTTTTATGGTTACGAAACTTACAACTTACGAATTTCTAAACTTGATTCTAATAGTCAAACATTAAAATATGAAACCATCACAAAATCCTCTTCATGCTGGTGTTTTTTCGTTTTAGTATTTCAAATAACAAAATGGTTTACTAGTGAAAAAAAATTACATGATTGAAAAATATTTTCAAATTGAAAAATTAAAAGTTACTAACTCGTTAGTACGAGGTGGCCGACATCACTAATATCTTGGAAGGATCTGTATATGCTCTGTTCATTGGATGATGAGAATTTCAATGTTAACTTTTTTTATTCTTTAAAAACATTTATTAACATTTCTTATTAACATAGCGTTAACATTTATTATTATTTTTGTTATAATAATAATTATGCTAATAATATTAATTATATTAATAATTATTATTATTGTTGTTGTTTATTACCACTACTATTACTATTGTCATTATTATCATCATCACTTTTTTGATCATGAATAACTGTAGCATCTATGTTACAATTTCACGTAATAGTCAATATAGTAAAAAGAGTTTAGCGAGAAAAAATTATTAGCGAAAAATCAATAAATATTTTTAATTAAAGACCACAATAAAGGAAAATCAAATGAAAATTTCCTGAATATATACTTCCACTTTTTAAATTCTAAGCTATGAACAAATTTGTCGATGTTTTTTCATTGAATGTAAATCAGAATTCTGTTTCGACGGGTTGATTGGATTGGACTGATCATGCGAGTGTTTCATTTAAAATTAAAACGCAAAATGGTGACCGATGTCTGTGATCTTAAATTGAATTAAACAGTATTGAAAGGACTTGAATGGACAAGAATGGACTTTAATGAATTTGAGAAATCTAAGCATTGCAAATGCAATGCAGACAAATAGTGTACAGTTTTTAAACTTGAAAATTTGAAACTCTGTTAACATTAAAAAATCAAATAAAAAGCAAATGTAACGTTCTGGAATGGCATAAAATCAACTGGTCAAATAATGATCTTTTTCATAAAATAGAATAACGAAATTTTGTTTCGATCATCTGTAAATATTAAATAGAATACGTAAAGGCTGAAATAACTTTTAATCTCATCTCTGGTTCTAACTGCACTAAAGAATTATTTTTAATGTTAAAAATCGACACTTTTCTTGTTTGATATGATTGTTTATTTCAGCTGAAAATTTAATGACAAGTAATGCAAGTGCTTAAAGAACCATCTCAGATTTTTGGCCTCAGTTTATTTATGTACAATAGTTTAAATCTTTGCTGTGCGTGCCAACAAATTGTTGTTTAATTAGTTTTCAAGAGTTCTTGGTAAATGTTTGCGACTGATTGCGTTTGTGATGGCAAACCACGTTAACATAGCCTGCCTGAAGTATTTAGCATCTGGGAAAATGAACTTTATTATTTGTTTGTGAGTGTTGTGAGCATTGTGTGTGTTGTTCATTTAACCAGCAACGTCTCAGAGTTAACTTTTTGTTAAAAAAAAAAACAAAACAAACTGTTCAACTCCAAGGTGCTTGCCAGCGATGAAAAATATTGAAAAGCACATAATCATCCGTCCAAGAGGCAATGAATCATCCGTTTGTGTGTGTTTGTGTGTATGTTTGTATGTTTGTATTAGTGTGTGTGTGTGTGTTTGTGTGTGAGTGTACGAGAACATTCAGTTATTAGGCGTTTGCCTAACATTTATAACTTTTCTGTTTTCCAAAATTGCAAAACATTTTTTGAAAATAAATTGTTTTGAATATTTTTTCGTCAATCCCCGCAACATGATTTATAGTTCGATTTATAGGATGGACTGTTTGTTTGACTTTTCCTTCTAAGTTGTTAACAATTTTTTTACATAATCTGCCGTTTCATTTTTGAACTGTTGTAGGTTATATATTTCAACTATCGATTAATTCTTGTGACGAACAATTTTTCACTTTTTTATTTTTGAGCAGTTGGTTTCATGTTTCGAGTTAACGACTTGTTATATGTTACTTCCGTATTATTTCAATGAAATTTTATGTATTTTATCTTTTTTTCCTCAATTATTTATAATACTAAATTTAAAATAACTCAAGACTGCAATATTTGCTGGTAGCGAGCTAGAAGCAAGTATCATGAAATAAAAATTTGATTAAAAAACTTTTTCAAAAATTAAATATTAGTAAAAACTATTTACTTTTAAAAAACTTAATGTAATTGTGTTTTCATTCGCCCATCTATAATGACGTTGAAAATCAGGTAAAAGATACTAAATATAGAAATCGATCAGTCAATCAGGTGCAATCAACTTTGCACGTGTCTGTCTGTCTCCGTGTCTCTATGTTCATATGCTCGTCAAAATACACATGTGTGTTGTGTATGTACTTTCGTGAACATGTTTGCGTGTATGTGTTTTATTGACGTGTTTGTGTGTACGTGAGAGTGTCTGTGAGAGTTTGCGCCCAGATTTGCTATAATATAATCATCATTAACCTATTGTAATAGTTTATGGTTTTGTTTTTTAAATTTTTTATGATTTAAAATTATCTTTTAGTAGTTAAGTGTAATGAATATTTAAATGTTAATGCCACTTGTACATTTGTATTAAAACAGTTAAAAAGAGTCTTTGTTACCTGCAATCGAAAAGAAAGTTGCAAAAATTCAAGTAGAATTGACAAGTGAGTTACCTGTATTAGTGTCTACCTGTTCAAAGAAGGCACACACGTGCTGCTTATTATCGAAGGTGCGCATGCCGTATTTATAATAACAATGATGAGATTTTGAGGTGTAACAACATGTACGGACGAATATTTCAAAACAATTAATTAATTCAGGTATTTCTCAGGTGAACGGTTTGTCCCTTCAGGTAAATACATAATCACAGGTAAGAGTTGATTTAATGCAGGTGTAATTATTGAACTATCTATCACTTTTCGTTTTACGTGAATTCTACAAAGGTGACAGTCTGGCTTGCGTAAAACAAGCATGAACGAGTAACGAATAATAACAAGCAGCAATCAGCAGCATGCAACAATAGTTGACAGCATACAGAAGAGAACAACAAACAATAAATGAAAGCATAGAGAGATATGCAACGTAAATGAATGCTACAAAGTTAGTTAACTACAAAAATTGTTAATGATACAGGTATGAAAGTTTCAAGGCTGGCCAGGTGAACATGTAAAGGTATGGCGATACACGTGTACTGTAGAAACGTTCCCTTGTATGAACCTCGCGTCGGTACTCTTGCAAGCAAAAGTAAGGAGAGCCTTTAATAGCATGCAGTCTGATTGATGCGTATACAATGTTTTTGCTCTTGTGTGTTATTTCAAAATTAATAACTTTAAATTGTTTAATTGATATTTATCGGCATTGTTTATCAACATTACTTTTTTGCTGCATATGTCTAATAACAATTTATTTATTATACGTCACATTTTGCAGATCACCTGTTCGGAAAGTGGAAGGTGATTAAGCTGGTAGGAGTCCATCATCTCATGCATCTCAGGTTGACCGGTCTCAATCTAGAAAACCATTCTACAAACATATCAACACTAAACTCCTTAGAAAGATTCCGTTAAAATTCACTAAGAATTTGAACCAGGTCAGGGGTCACCCGTGTCAACCAGCACCACAAAATGAACTAAAAAGAATCGCATGAAAACGAAGATAATTTTCCATACACGCCACATTCAGCACCGCGGGTAATATTCGGCAGAGTCTGCAAAAGCGCTGAATTTTCCTGCTAACAACTTTCATGGAAATAATCGTCGTGGAAGCAGAAAATTCATCTGGTCTCTACATGGACGTACGAACGTGTTTGCAAGTCCTTTATTACATTTCTCCATTGCTTGCGGAACAAAAATGTGTGTTCTATGCTTATTAATTTTGAACAATGTTTCAATAATATAAAATAAATGAGTAAAAAATGTGCAATTGTTAATTTTCTAGATAATCATTTTAAAGACATTTTTCAAGAAGAAGAACAATCGTGTCAATTTTTGAAAGCAAGTTACAAATTATTTGTGAACGAATGTCCAAACTGGTGAAACACTTTATTATCATATTAAAATTTAAAATATATTTCATCACCTTTGTACTCAATAAGTTGTTTGTGGTGCATTTAATAATTTGCAAACGTATTATTTGAACATCTTGTATAATTTATCTTTGCAAATTAGTTTTGTTGCCTAGCGGTGAAAACTTGAATAAAATGTTTCAGCCTTTGTGGTTGTTCAATGTTTGAAAATTATAAAAACAATCAGAAAAAAAATTAGCGGGAGAAAGAATTAAGAAAATTTTTTATGAGATGATTATTTGAGGAACTCAAACTGGAACAGCCGCAATTTCAAAGCACCAACTAACCAAGCACTTTAATGATTCTCAACATAATCTATCTAAACCTCAAACAAATATAATAAAATAAAAATCTCGCAACGAATAAAAAATATTAACAACTAACATATTGTTAAACAAAATAAATTGTTTTCACTCAATGTTTCATTAATAATTAACAACAAGACAAAAATTAAAAACTTCATCACCAGGAAGGTACATAAGAACAACAATTCACAGCCATTATAAAACAACATATCACAATATAACATCCTGGATGAAATAAATTAGCACAAATAGAGGAATAAATTAACAAAATTGTGAAAATAAATTAGCGAAAACAAATAAACCTACATATCTCTCCTCAAGAGCCTTTCTGGAGAAATCACGACAGTCGATGATCTTCGCGAACTGACCAGACTCGTTGTCATCTGCCTCACATCTCGCACCAACCTTCTGCTGCTGCTGCACGCTGTCTACCTCATCATCATTCCTATCAAATGGACAGATGGTCAGCAGTAGTATGAGGTAACCACCCCCGTCTTCGAGGTCCACTTTTAAATTGTGGGTTCTGTTGGGCTCGTATGACGTCAGATCCAACTTAGCCCTGGTTGGTCGGTTTGATTTTTTAAAAGATATCAAAATTAAATCATTCCATTGTGGTAGTGTGAAAAAATGAATTTATTTTTAAAGTTTCGTAATTATACATCGTCCATTTATCGAGAAGTACATAACAACAAATCAACGGTTTTAGCATAATATAAATTTATGAAAATTGCGTCAATTTTAATACGAGACCAGCACGTAAAAATAAGCACGTACGAGGGAAGCCTTCAAAGCCATCACCATCAATCATTTTCTCATCACCATCAAATATACAATAAATAGATAACGAATAGGCAACGAATAGACGACAAATAGACAAAAATAGACAACTAATAGACAAAAATAGGCAACATTTAGAAATAATTTGCCACTAGCAACGAATACCGTTCGTTGATCGAAGTTAATATATTACGAATGTCAAAATACAATTAAATAATTTTAAAACATATATTGCCATGACAGCTTTGCTAAATATGTAATAAATATTTTTTGAATAAAAATTTAAAAAAACAATTATTATTTCAAATAAATGAGTCAATGATATTTTTATTTAAACGGTAAAACATCAATAACAAACGACAAGTTCATCGCATGCCACACCAAATAATGACTTGAAGTAAAATGAGATTTGCTGAGAAAAAATAATTTGAAATGGTTGCATGTGTTTGTTGATCGTGAATAAGGATGATGTGGAATGATGTAGAGTGATGTAGAATGATGTAGAGTGCTGTAGAGTGATGTAGAGTTATGTAGAATGATGTAGAGTGATGTAGAATGATGTAGAGTGATGTAGAGTGATGTAGAATGGTGTGGAGCGATGACGACATCAATGCAAGTAACCTTCCGAGGACATCATCTTTTCCTCCCACGTCATGATCGTAAACATTAATATCAAGATATGATTGGTCGGATTCCAGCCAATCAATGTCGAACGTTTCTACCCATTTTGGATTCAATGTTTTCAATTTACACTGTTGGTCAAGTTGAAATTGAACTGATTTAAAAAAATTATATTTAATTAATATCTTTATATTTAACTTTTACTTCAAACGGTCATATAATTAATTACATAGTTCGTGTAACAGCTTATTAAATGGAAACTAGTAATGACTAGATGGATGAAATAAAAATAAATATTCTCATGAATATGATCAGATATTACAATTGCACTCAAAATGAAGTTCATGTGAGCCGCCAACTGCGGGAGATGCAGCGTTGCAATGTTTGCAGTTTTAAAAGCCAAATTTCAATTGAAACAAAATGTTCCGTCTACACTTTTTTCTGAAATTTCAATAAGAGAAAAAAGTTCCATGCTATTTTGATATGCACGCAACACAATTTGGTTAATGTTCTTAATACGATTTGGTCCACAGTAGAGAATAAATTATTTCTCCAATCTAACCACTAACCGGGCAACAACAAATTGTTAATTCCCAACCCAATAGCTATTTTATTTCAGATACGAGAATACAGAGCTGACAGTCTTGTACAAAATTTCATTGTGCGCATGCAAATTTGTTTGTACGTACGCTCGTATACCCAATCTGTTTGTGAGCGTTCTTATGCATGGAAGCACATCTTCTATTTGGGCTTACATTAAATGAGTGGTATTGCTAGAAGGCAAAAAATCGTTCAGCAACCGTTAAAAGTAACGCCTCGTATGTCCATTCACGCGTTTGTTTTGACTTGTCTATTATTATTACTTTGAAATGACTGTGAAGTTATTAAATGAAAAAATTTGTAAGGCATACCGACCTTACTTTTGAACTTTTCGTTCCCAAGTTGAAATTTGACGTATGGATCGGAGAACCCATTGTCATCCATGGCTATCAGCTGCCTGCCTTCCACGAGCACGATGTTCACCGAGCCTTTAATTTTCTGCTTCTTCTTCTTCTTCCTCTGGTGGTCTCCCAAGAAAAACGACCTGGCAACGCTGCTGCTGCTGTTGCTTCTCGCATTCGAAAGAAGTTTATTCTGCGGTGCGTGTACGAGTGTTGTTCATCTTTTTGTCCCGTTGTCAGTCGCTTATTTTAATTTACGTGGTTGATGGTTGCAGTGATTTAGAGGGAATTAATTTTTGGTTTGTTAGGGGGGGTGCATACATACGTGGACATGTCATGTTTTGCGTGTCCGTTCTTGCGCATCTCTGAAAAAATTTCTCTTTAGTTTTTTTGCTTCATTTATTTGTACATTTCTTTCTAAATGTTTTTTTTATTTCATAAAATGTTTGTGCGGATTCAACAGTAAGTGGTTTTGCCTAAGCATGCACATTTCAACGTGAATAATTAAGTGAAGATGCTCACAAATAACAAGATAATAAATAATAAAAAGTCAGACAGTAAAAAATTTTTTATCCTGTCCGTTAAACCAAAATATATCATTTTGCTTTTGCTCTCAGTGAAACTCAAAATCATGACCAGAATAAAAAACAACATTTCATGGAGAATTTTTTATCGTAAGAATTTTCTCCGCCTGATAAACTGCTGCTTGTATTTATCTGTTCGTCACGTTGGAGTTGTACAATTCAACGAACCAGTGCTTTCGACGTTTCGATCAAAAACATTTTTGACTACTTCAAAAAAATCTGTTCAACGATATTTTTATTTTGTGTTTCGGTGAACAGAGCAAAATAACAAATTTATAATAACTTTTAATAACTTTTAAAGAAGAAGTTGTGTTATTCCAACCGGAGTTTAGCAGCAGTCGGAGATTTTGGCTGGAGTCGGATTGGGATTCTTTTCATCCCACTCCGACGCACTGACTCCAGCTCACCCATCAAAAATACGAACTTGATGGCGTATGAAAATTGATATTTACACTCAATTCTAATTTTTAAAATCTATTTGTTCTTACAGAACCTCATTTAAACGTTTAAGGTGGATTCAATGAGAAAATGGTTCGAGCGAAATATCAAAGATGAAACCATTCGTGCGCCTGCGAAAACTGACGCCAGACGGGCTAACCTTATTAAAGAATGATGCACTAGTTAACATTAAAATTTGTCTTTTAGTGAATTAATGAAGAGTTTGAAAAATTTGTTACATCAAACAGGTTGCGTATTCCGAAAGTGAGTTTGCACTGCAGCAGCAAGTAACCCATGTACTTGAACTTCTTGTTCTTCTTTCCATCCGTCAGCATCAAATTCATCTCCGTCTCCCTGTTTCAAATGAATTTTATTTCTTGGAAATTTTGTTTATGACAGAAAAAAACAATTTATTAACTGTGGTTTATTAATATTTTTGGTGCTATTGAGAGCCTTTCACGTTTGGTTTATCATTTTTAGAGCAAAAAAACGATTGAAGTGGTTCTTCCTATGATTTCACGTCAACGATGCAGGTAATGATGATGATGACGATGTTAGTGGTGATGATGTATGATGATGGATGATGATGACGGTATGATGGTGATAATGATGGTGGTGGTGATGATAATGATGAAGATGATGGTAGTGATGATGATGATGATGATGATGATGACGACGATGATGATGATATGAAAGAATAAAATTACTAAATCTATTAAAAATTCTATCATGACTAAAATCAAATTCAAGTTCAAAATGAAATCAAAATGAAGTTCAAAATCTCGACATGTAAATTCGCAGCCCATTTTACAGCCCATCTAAAAAACAATAAACAGCACACATTTGTTCGAAAAAAAGCAAAGTGCAAAGTACAAAAAAACAAGACAGAAAAACAGAAACATCAAATTTAAAATTTACAAGTTTGCTGCCAAGAAATTTTGTAACGTTTAACAACTCTGTTATAACCAGATGTACTCATGTCATAATATGCACATATAAAAATTCTGTTGCAATTTTAGACAACTACCTCTTTATTTTTAATCTGCAAAAGTTGTTGGTAACTTTTTTATAATATAAAACAAGATTGTTGCTATTGCTAGTCAAAAACTCAACTCGCAATTCACAACATGAAGGTACCATCAAGCCTCAACTAACAACTGAATCACCAGTTGAGTGAAGCAGCTCCAATTCTAAAGCATTCACCGCGCAGACGAGAAGTTGAAAAATAATTGAAAACCTGGTTAAGAACGGAAAAAACTTTGAAAGTTCACGTAATATTTTTGAAGAATTTTTACCAACAATTGCAATTAATTTGTAATATGTTTATTTACAATGACAACTTTTAAAAGTTGCTGAAATTCAGTTGTAGTAATTTGTTGGTGGAAGACATGTGGTGTAACTGCAGGTGGTTGTAGAAATTGCGTTATTTATTAGTGGAAGACATGTGAAAGACATGTGGTTTAACTACAGATGGTTGTGGCTTTGGTCGTGAAAATTGCGTTTGTGGCTGAGCGCAGGTATATGCGGCTGCGAAGTTGCGAAGTTGCAGATATATGAACCGCTTAGGAGTGAACTGAGTGAATAAATTAACAATTAAACGGACGAAATAAATATAAAGTAAATTTGTATTTTTTCAAATGTACATCAAATTAATTTATAGTTATTTATAAAAAAATTATAAAATTTCGATAAAATTACTCTCGAAAATACTAAAATAAAAGACAGACTGGAATAATTTTTATCCTAAATAAGAAATTAAAGTCTTGGTTTCTGATATTTTATTTCAATTCATTCCACAAACAATCTTCCTTTATATATATATATATATATATATATATATATATATATATATATATATATATATATATATATATATATATTTGTGTGTGTGTGCCTGCGTGTGTGTGTTAGAATATTTTCTTACATTTGAGAAACAATTTTAAAAATAAGTTGAAGTTCTGTATTCCTATACAATATTCCTATGACCAGAGGATACAGACATCGTACATGAATACGTGCTAAAGGACGCATCACAAGCCACTTTAACCACTAAGCTAAACACGCCATCCAAGTTTTGAAAAATCTTAAAAATTCATCTAGATATTTTTTCGACATACACATTTATTGTTTTCTGCAACAACTAACTTATTCGATGAATCTTTTGAGTTGTTGTTTCCTTACCAAGTTAAACAAACAAAGTGTTCGTGAAGTGTTTGCACTTCATAAGCCACCCACCTAACCTTACTTTACATGATATCTATAAGGTAACATGTTTAGTTATTATGCATATGTGCGGTACTATAACTGCAGCCTGTATTATCATAATTTATTAACGTATATATCACATATATGTGTATAGAAAGAGAGAGAGAGAGAGAGAGAGAGAAAGAAAAAGAGAGCAAAAAATGTAAAATGCATGATTGTTTTGATGTAAATGAATGGCAATGTCGTATCCTACGTAAGTCGTGTCTGTTGAACCCTAAACAAAATTTTTTTATTTTAAGAGACAAAATTGATGGAAAATGTTTATTGTAAAGAATGAAATGGCCATGCAACTGTTTGTCATAGTGAGAAATATATAAAGATTACGTTACACCTATAACGTGAATATTTCGCAAATGTAATTTTTTTTAAAATAACCTGCTTTTCTATATTTTTCAAGGGCATCAGTAACAAATACAGTGAAACAACGACGCACAACCCAAATTGCATGTGATTAGTGGAGATACGGCTGCAAACGAATCCGGGCAATGCAACAGCATTGTCAGGCACTTTACCGCTATACCATCGCGTCGCACGGTCAATGAAGTCAATCAAACAAAAAACAAATGTGGCAAAACTGTTTAAGAAAACTTCTTTTAAAAATTTTTGCATAAATAAAGTTTTATTCTTATCTTCAAACATATCTTTTTAAACAAAAACGTTCTTTTTGTTGTAGACGTTTTTTGAAATCGAGAAGAATGTTTTTGCAAAGGGGATCATCTTCTAAGAAAAATTCAAAGAAATAAAAAAATTAATATGATGATACAGTATACAATATTTCAAAATAAGTTAAATCTCGTCTCATTAGCAACAGTTTCAGGCTATTTGCAAAACGTTCTTATGGATGCGACACTCATAAAATTGATAAATGATCCATTTCTTAGCGAAGAACTAAATAACATTTTTGTGTTTATGTGAGAGGAATGAGGCAAGCCTAATAAATCTTCCGCGAGCAAAACATTCCCGCATAAATTCCCTCATTATTGAGCGTTCAACAGCTGGTGAGAACATTATTTTTTAATATCTATAATCATTATTATTTTCCCAATTGAAAATAATACTTAAAAGTTATGTAAAAAATTGAATGCTATTGAACTTGTTCATATTTAATTTATAAAAGTCTTTAACAAAACTAAAAAAAGAATAAAACTAATATGAGAAAAAAAAATTTATACCAAAAAATATCTTTTTATATAAAAAAAAATATAAATTATTTGTTAAATGTTATGAAGTAAGCAAAGGGTAAGGAACATCATTTATTTATGAAAGGAAACACGTGCATCCGTTTTCAACGGCAGCTTGTGTTAGTCTGCAGTCTGGCGGGAAGATGGACGAATCAACAAAAAGTAATTCAATGATTCAACAAACACATCGAACAAAACTTTCAACAAGCTTACTTACTTACAACTAATTTTCTAGCAACTAACTAAAGTTCACTCCAGTTACTTCTTTTCTCAACAATATGTCATTCTTAATAAATCCATCTTCGCGAAGATTTCTCAAATTAAATTAATAATAATACAAAGAATAAGAATTTGTCAAATTTTTATCAAATTACGTTAAAAATTAGTTTACAAGTTTCCTTATTCTGAAAATTACCAATTTATTTTTCTACATTTTTCACTAAAACCGCAAAAATATCGACATTATAGCTATTAAATTGAAAAATGCTACTTTAGAGAGATCTAAGGATATTTTGTAAATCTAATATCACAACTTTTGATATTTAAATAATTATTTACACAACAAATTTTATCATGTAATTTGATTAGCTGTTATTTCTTGACAGGAAAAACTCTAGGTGAGAATTGAACGTGGATGAATGAATTTATTGTGCTGGGCTTGGTTTAATATTTTTGCAGGATGATCATGAAGATGCTTTAAAAACAACATTGAAAGCCACATTTGAAAAATACATATTAACAGCTAAAATCATCTCAAATTTATTAGCAGTTTCCGTCAAAGTCAAACTGAAGATATCGAAGTCGTGTAACCAAAAAGTTAATCTATCATTTAAAAAAATCATTATAAAATTGAAAACATTTTTGCCACATTGTTTGTTAATCCGCCATTTATTAACTATCAATCAACTTGAACTTGGAAAAGGAGAGCAGCAAGCAGATCTACTGCACTTCTACGTTCACGAGGGGGGTGGTTTCAAACAGACACCAACATAGGCATCCAACGTTTGTTGTGTGGCTGGTGCAGTGACGTAAAAATAATCTTTTTAAATATAACGGTTTTTTGCAGTTCGTGATTGAGAACAAAATTTTATTTTAAAAATTGTTTTTTAATGAAAAATATGAAAATATTCATTAATCAAATGACATTTAAATTTAATAACTGTATGACCGGTCAGAACAAAGCAAACTTACCATCAAATACAATAACGGCAACAATTAAGAAAGTCTACAACATGAAGACATTATCATCGTACCATAGTCAACGTACATCAAGCTAATTAACGACATCCGCTTCTACTTCACTTATTAAACAACAACAACCATCCACACTGAAAAGCAAAACATAAAAACCAACAACAACCCAAAATTTCTAACTAATTATAAACAGCTTACATTCAGTGAACCATTTTTAACAACAAACAGCTGTGTGGAGCATCAACAACTATACGCAAGCAACAAATCAATCACAACAACCAACCAACCAACAACAACCTACAATCACAGCAACAAACCATCCAACAACCTACAATCACGACAACCAACCACGCACAACTACGCGTTGCCTATTTTCTAACTTCGACTAGTGATCATTGCACTGCCGTTTTATTGCCTTACATATATATAATCTAATATGTTTAACTGTTTTCAAAGTATTGTTATAAAAAGCTCCATATAAATGTCCAAAATAATAAAATCATTCATAATTATATATGCGTATGTATTTAAGTACGATATTTATTAATTTATTTATTTACATGGATGCCTGCTGCGCGTGTTTACAAGTGCTGCCCTCGACTGATTCAACGTTGTTGGTTATATTTACGAAGGTTCGCTGCACTTATTCGCCTTGGTCCTTTTCCACGGTTGATATTTCAACAATTTTCTACCAAATGTAAATTTCATTGAAACAAAATGAGGTAAAAAATGTAAATTGGCCGAAGCTATGATTAATTTGAATAATTGTTGCATAATTTGAAGCAGTTAGAGGCTGCCAACATTATCAACTTAGCCTATTGTGGTTGTTATTATAACAAATATTTGTTACTAGTTTCAAAAGCGCTAAACTAGAATGAACGTAAAATTTTGTGTTAGCCGATTGAAACAAAAAATATGATGACATAAAAAATCACAAAAATTATAAGTCTAGTAAAAGTTCAAACAACTCTGCCGCTTATATATATTTCGTAGTCATTCTATTGATGCATTTGTATACGAAGAGCGCAGTCTGAAAATGAATTCGATGACAAACTGGAAGCCTGTGAGGTTCGAAGAGAATCGGCTTAACGTGATCGAATTTCGATGCACCTGATGTAAACTTTGTTGTCTGCTTCTGAATCGATCATCACTTTGCAGTATTCAGGTAAGCAAGTCATAAATGGGGCAGTTGCAATGATCAACTGTAGAATAAACAAACGAGTCAACCAGGTATTATGATGTATCCTTGTTTGAAGATTTTTTCAATTTCATCCATCCGCTCATTCATTCACTGTGTTGGTTATGTGCCTAGTTCCCACGGGTAAAAACAAGATCTCAGGTGGATTCATTTCGAACATCGACCTGTTTTTCCATCAGCCATTCATTAGCATTTGAAGGACGTAATGTATAGACAACTTATCGTATATCTATGTACGAATGATGTGTATTTATAATAAAACTTTAAAAAAAATATGAAAAAATGTATTTATTTCAAATTTTTGGTTAATATAAAATCAACTTTGCTTGGAGTCGCAATTTTTGTTTGCTGTAGTTCATGTATGTTGTTTGTTTGTTTATTAATTAATTAATTCACTGATTCATTCATTCATTAATTCACTCATTCATTCATTTATTCATTTATTTATTTATTCATTCATTCATTAAAATATTCATCAACTTTTTGAAAATTAATAAGAACAAGATCGAGCGGAGCATTGCAACAATCAACAGCGACCGAAATCGATTAGTTGGTCGATCAATTAAAGCTCTACAACCAACAGGTGTGCTCGTTGTTGTTGTTGTTCGTATTGATGATTTGATAATCAGAACACTGCAACAATTACATTTATTACATTAATCATTCACTCATTCATTCATATATATGCGATCTTTGTCTTAATCGTAAGTTGGAAGCTATGTGCAATAAGTTAGCTTGAGTTCAATGCATTATTATTAATTAACCAGTCACTCAGATAGAACACGATGGATAATTATGGAACGCAGCAGCGACTGTTGTAGGGAGAGGCTTAGAAAGACACTCTCTGGCGGCTGTGATAAAAACTTGGAATCATTTTTCTATTTTTTGATACATATTAGTAGGGAAAACATATGGAAAGCATGAAAAAAAGTTTATTGCTATAAATTCATCATTATGCGAACTGTCTTTGAATAAAACCATGCAGACTGTGGCTATTCTTGAAACCATTGTCTCAAGTGTAGACATCGGGTTTAGAAGTAGGTTCAAACAGATTTTTTAATGTAATCGTTGTTTATAATCATGAGTGTTTGCAACGTGATGATGTGCGCTTGATTATTTAATAATCAACAAGTTATTTGTCCATTTAAAATTTTCTTTAATTTACTTTTTTTGTCTTTATACTATTTTATGTTACATTTTTATGTAGTTTTTTAAAAGTTAATTAATGAAACGTTTATAGTTTAGTTATCATTACATCATCAATAAAAGGACATAAAAACAATTTTATCAATTCAATGATCCGACTAACTGGTCGACGTTGAGACTGTTAGGTTCGATGATGGCCTCTCCCATGTAATCATCAGTGACCATCCCAACATCCCGATCGTAGACCTGGACCAGGATCGGAGTGACTAGGTCCCTCAGTCGCAGAGACAGCCTCTCGTTCCATGTTGGGTTGAGGTTCCTCTCGACCACCTTGCTCTTGTAGACTGTTTTCGACGTGTACTTGAACTTAACGTACGGATCGCTCGTGCCTAAGTATCAATGTGTCATTTAACAGCTGATTGAGTTTGAGTGGTGTTGATGATTAAAAAATTGATGAGACTGTGATGCAACATGCAGCTTTATGTGAAATGGCTTAGATAGAAAAAAAACTCAAGGTTGTTGTATTTAAATTTATTTTGCATGTATTAATAAGAAAAAAATATTGAATGTTTTGAAAGTTTTTCACTCATCACACATGTTGAAACATTTCCTCATTGCAGTCGAAAGTTACGCTCAATTTTTTCAGAATCCCATAATTTCTTGTTATGAAAAATTTTTTAAGATTTATTGCTCGTGTGAATATTTGGCCATTCAATAACGACTCAGGTAAATGCGTAAAATACGATTATGTTTTAAAATTACAACAGTCAAATTTGGTCAATTATTACATTCCGTTGATAAAAATTTGTACACATAATTTTATAAAATATGAGTCATAATTTATTTCTTACAGATTAACATCTAAATTTTTTTTATTGGAAAGGTTTAAATTTGTTCTTCTTAATCTTAATTGTTGTTATAGTTGTGTTGTTGTTGGTGGTGTTAATGCATCAAAAAGTGGACGGTTGTCCAGAAACCACTGACAAAGGATGCATCGTTGATTTCACGTCATGAAAGAATGCACGTTGTATAGGACGAAGACCAGGCAATCAGCACACGCATACAAATCAGTGTAGCTCTAATGAGCTCTTGAGCTGGATATTAGGCATGTAACGCACACAACGATATTGCGCATGTCGTGCGTACAAAGATATTGCGCACATTAATGCACAAAACCTATCTTATTGCGGAAAATATTTTTTAACTTCTGCTATCTTGCGCTAATCATATGCGATTTAGTTACGCAATATAGATCAGAGCATTATATTGCTTTTTAGAATCTTTTTTTAAATTTTTCGAGAATAAAAGTTTCAATAAATCAATTTGTGAAAATGGTTACTAAAAGTAAAATGTTTAATGCAAATAATTTTTATAGCACTTCTCACGCAAACACTTTCAATTAGTGTCAGGTAAGTTTTAAATATATTATACCAACAACAACAACGAATAAAAGTTGATTTGTTATTATAGAAAAAAAGCTCTTAAAAACAAACATTTATTTATAACTTAACAAACAGTATTTAAATCATTAGGTCATGATATTTAAAAATCCACAAATTTTTTATATTTCAAGCGGTAGCAAGCAAACTAAACATGCATCAAACGCGATGGTATCAAATAAGAAATACGAGCGAGTTGGTACGTATGTTACCGTTCGATGATCATCTAATTTAATTACGTGATAATACAGTGCGTGAAAACCAAGAATAATATTTTGTTGAATAACATTTTGACAATGTATCATCAAGGTGGCAGCATTTTCCCCATTTAATATTGCTTAAATGAGATTGTTGTAATGTTTATAGAAAAATATTCATTCCTACACTCCTATTATATTAACGAATAAACATTTATAAAAATTCATTTTCATTTCAAGTGTTAACATTTCAACGTTTTTTTCTCATAAAGAGAAGTGATAGAAAGATTAAAAAACAGTAGATGGTTTTAGTTTGGCATGAAGTACATTGAAAAATATGGGGCTATGTCAATAATGTGGTTGTACAACTATTCAGGATCTTGTGCAATATTAAAAATGTATATAACGTCTTGTGCGATACTTAACATGCATGCAGGAATGAGTATCCTCCAATTTGTAGCAATAACACATCCTACCCATCCAGCATGTGACATATAAACGACATGATACAACATAGAATTGATTTATACAAAAGATCAGTAAAAAAAAAATGCAACTTGCGATTAGAGCAATTGGAGCGCAGATAAATTTAAATTGGATTCGCCGTTTCGTGATTTAACTTTCAAAAAGATATTTGGTACATTCGTCTTAAAAATCGATTCATACAATTTTTTATAATAAAAGCTGCAGATATGAATTTAAAAAACATTTTAAACAGTTTAAGTAGGCAAGTTAAAAATTGTTTTTAGATGGCGGAATATATCAGCATTTTTTAATGCAGCTTGATCATTATTAATTTCATTAATGATAATATTTTGTTGAATAAATTTGATTACTGTAATTATAAAACAATTTGCGACAAAAACAAATTGGCGCATAAATTTATTAAATTATGAATATTATCAAATATTATATATCAATTAATTTAGCTAGATTGATGAAATCTACTATCAATTCACCGACTGACGTGTTATTGATGTTTATTTTCTTATCTTTTTTAATTTAAAATTGAATCAAAAATGAAAACGAACCACATCTGTCCCTGACCACGAGATCTTTCCCCTCTCTCAAATAAATCTGTAGAACGTAACTTTTTCTCTCATCATTATCTCGCCTGCAGCTGCTGACGCTCCTGCTTATCTGTCTGGTCGTCTGGTTCTAGGTGAATTAACATTGTGGGTATTAATTTTTTTAAATGTTAGGCCTAATTTTATGTTTCGACAGTTAAAAACAATTAACAAAAATTTATAAAACAGCCATCGTGATAATATATTTGACTTTCGTTTGCGAACAGAAAATAGTACAAATTTTTTAATGGGCTAAAATTATCTTGATGGCATAAAAATGTAAATAATTTTAAATTAATTGTATTTAATTTGTAGTTTACTGTTTGAGTGATGTTTGAAATATTGTCCTCGTTGCAGGGAGGTGTCGAATAAATGTCATCGACATCCCCTTCAGCCTGCCTCACATCCAAATCGGAGGACGATGTTTTTTTTAAATCCAGCTTGAAAAAATTTTTTAATCGAATCTTTTTTGATAATATAAATGACTCTTTGTCCGTTTGATCGTCAAATCGAGACGCAGTTTCAGTTAAATCGTCTTCCAGATCTACCTCATATTTCCTCAACTTCTCCTCCGAGAATTCAAAGCACTGATCCTCTTGTTGACGCTTTTTTAAAGTTTTGTCGGAACTTTTAGACCGAAAATGATTTACAGTTTTAGATTTTAGACTGCTCCAAAATTTGTGGTGTCGTGTTAATTTCTCGCTGCGTTTCCCCGGCGAAGTTAAAATTGTAGAAGATGTTTTAGTGGCAAGCCGTCCAGTTGACGATAAGAAACTCAGTGGAGAAAGTTGTCGATGGCGAGTGTGGTGATTATGCGATGACTCTAAGGAATCTGTCAAGAACGATGACTGTTGAATACCTGTTTCCAATTGCTGCTGGGAGGGATACAAATGTTTTCGCTTGGAAAGAAGCAGATTATCATCCGAACCTGTTCGTGGATGAGTTGAATCTGTTCAATGAGTTGTTAAAGATTATTTGATCTAGTGTTGAATCTATTTATAATTTATTTTGCACTATTGCAATCATTTAACAATTATTTAATATAGCGCTTTTTCCAAAAAAGTTTAAAATTCTTTAAAATAAAAATTCAGTAATTTTTGTTGTTTGCTGCATTTGATGCGCGGAAATAGCATACGTATAGCATATGAATTATTTTTCCTTTACGACAAAAAGTCAACGAAAAATAACCAGCAATTTCATCAAAAAAGACAAATTTATTTTTTAGAATTTTATATTTCTTAGTTTTTTTTATTTCGTTTACAATTAATATTCTTTCCATTAAAAATGACAACTGAATGTTGAAAATCAAAGTCGACACGAAGAGTTTGACTTTTGAGACCACAGAACGCAAGAAGGTGACGTGCATCTGCATTTAACGGTAATAATTATTGATTTGTAATAAAAAATGTTATATATGAAACATGAATATATAATTTTACTTTTTGTTTATTGGGTTATCAGCTTAATGTTTTTCGTAACCGAACAAAATAAAATCTAATAAGATGATTCAAATCAATTTGTTAAAAATTAACTACAAATATAAACCATTTTGCCAAAAATAAGTTGGTAACATTTTACAAAAATTTATTCACGTTATATTTGTGCTTAATTTTTGTTTCGTTTTAAACTTTTCCAAAAAATATCAACTAAATTCACTTTGAAGTCAATTAAATACACTAACAGTAATGAATCGTTTTCTCAAAAGCACGATCCTTAAATGAAGATTTACAATTGGCTTACGCTGTCGTCTTTTTAAGAAAATTATGTTCTCATTATTTGTTATGCCACACTAACAAGTGCAAAAATGCGATATTTTTTGTTTCTTAATCGCCACAAAAATGTTACATCAACAACAAATGTCGGATGAAGGCATTTGTTTGTACTGCCAAACACCAACTTTCACACGAGGTTTTTGACAGTTTTTTTATACTTTTCATACGAAAGAGTAGAAACTTTGAATTATTGCAATAGTTTATAATTCAAAAAACTAGACCTTTAATTTACCTGAGCTAACTTGCCGAAACCAAATTATTTACCAAATTTTTCTACATACAAAAATACAGATTAATAATGACCAACAAATGAGCAATTTATGTATAGTAGCAAACGAGTCCACGTTTAATATATTGCACATTTATTTTTCATAATAGAGCAGAAAACTGATATCCACCAACCATTGCCTCTTTGAAAAGTCTAAAAATCCTAAACAAACGTTCTTTAACGCCATTTTTATTTGAGAGTGTAAAAAAAACATTGCTATTTCTATCTAACAATCTTCTAGTTATTTTGAAAACCCATCGATTTGTATGAATTAAAAATCAATTTTTATATCATATCAAAAAAGTTATAGATGCGAAGAAATATATATTTATTTGCAATCTCTCCTCACTGCAATTATTTGATGATTTCCCATTTGAGCATAAAAAATTCTTGATAGCTTTCACGCCTTCACAATTGATACGTTGATAAAAAAAAAAGATGCGTTGCACTAACATAATTATTTAACCCTCTGTTATGAAGGCAACAAAGGGAAACATCTTTTTGTGTTTGAGCAAATAATCACTTGTTCGTTTCTATTTAAGGTATTTCAGATTGTTTGCAAACCTTTCTTATTTTCAACCTCTACTCATTATTAACTATTTGTATAAAATATGGTCGAAATCTTAAAACACTGATCACAGTATAATGATTCACAGATACAGTTAGAACAGAAACATATATATTAACTGTTTGTGAAAAATATGGCAGAAATTCAGCTTTTGAAACAATATATTAAAACATTTGTATATCGGAAAGTAAAAAGAAAATATTAAAAAAATTATCTAATATGTTTAGTTGGCATATTAGAAAAATTAATATTGTTTATAATTATCGCTTTTGAAATATATAAACCTTAGCCATTTTTAATCGTGACGATTGAGCTTTCTAAAATGCAATTGGCAGTCTACATTTTTGAAACCTTTAACTTGAAAAACCAAAGTAGAAGAATATATATGTATATATATATATATATATATATATATATATATATGTATATATATATGTATATATATATATATGTGTTTGTGTGTGTGTGTGTGTGTGTGTGTGTGTGTGTGTGTGTATGTGTGTGTATTATGAAATAATACTGACTAAAAATACTGCAAAATTTTCAACGCGAAATTTATTCACTCGATAGGGGGCATGGTGCAAGTTAATTTACTCGATAGGTTAGGTGACAACGTATTTTTTTTGTTTTGCAATTTAGATGACGTCATAAATTATTATAAATTATTTTTAAATTTAATTAGTACTTTTTCTGATTAATTGGACATGCCTTGTAGATTTTTATGTTTTAAAACACCCGAAACAAAATCTAATTTTGTTTTGATAAGGAAGGGTGTGAAAAGACTTGAAAGAGAAACTGGGTTCACCAGTTAGAGAACTGGGTTGACTAGTGAGGCAGCTTCGAATAATCAGTGCCTCTTCTGGTCCTTAAAAGACTTAACGCGTGATTCTATGCTCATTGGCATAGTTTCAGAAACTTCTTAAGTTCTCAAAGAGTCAGCCTTGGGTTCACCAGTTAGGCAGCTTCGAGTAATCAGTGCCTATTCTGGTATCTAAGAGACTTAATGCGTGATTCTATGCTCATTGGCATAGTTTCGGAAACGTCTTAAGTTCTCAAAAGTGGATTTGGTACGAGACTCTATGCTCATTGGCATAGTTTCGCACGCGTACTAGAGTCACACAATTTGTTTCCAGTGTTGTTCTGACTCTTGTTGTCTTGTGTTGGTCGTGCGAAAGCCGATCAGACTCGACGGCCCAGTGAAAACAGGCCGGGGTTGTGCGAAAGCCGACCGACTGACTGACAGGCCCAGTGAAAACAGGCCCTTGGTCGTGCGAAAGCCTGACCGACTGACTGACAGGCCCAGTGAAAACAGGCCCTTGGTCGTGCGAAAGCCGATCAGACTCGACGGCCCAGTGAAAACAGGCCAGGGTTGTGCGAAAGCCGACCGACTCACAGACAGGCCCAGTGAAAACAGGCCTTGGGTTCTGTGAAAACCAATCCGCCTCCTTCTTTTCTTTCTTGTGCTATTTGTCTTTGCTGGATTCTATACTCATTGGTATAGTTTCACACGCAGCTTGCAATTTCCATAGGCTCCGATTTTTGTGATTCATTTTTTTTTTTTATTTCTTGGAGTTGTATCGACATCACCATCGGATACACACGTCGAAGTTGTACGATTAAAACGCCAAGAAACATATTCCAAGTTGAAGACCCAACAAGAAGAGTTCTAATTCCTCTATTCCAGTTTGTTCATTGACATTTACATTATTATAGAGTTCATTAGTTCAATTCCTTTTATTTACTTCCGTCGATTAATAAAATTGTTATCGAATATTTTTTTTACGCGTTCGTGTGTTACTCAGTAAAATCATATAATTCGAAAAAGCCCAGTGCCACACAGGACTGGTCGAACTCACGATAAAAATATACACAAAAATTATTGTCGGACCATACAAAAATTCCCTGAGAAAGATAGAGGAGGAGATTGCTTCCTCTTATCATTTTAATTTATTATTTAAAATTTCCGACAATTGGCGTCCAACGTGGGGCCTTGTCACCCTTTTAAAAAATCCTCCTCCTCATTAATTTATTATTTATTATTTTAAAATTTCCGACAATATGTATATATATATGTATATATATATATATGTGTGTTTGTGTGTGTGTGTGTGTGTGTGTGTGTGTGTGTGTGTGTGTGTGTGTGTGTGTGTGTGTGTGTGTGTGTGTGTGTGTGTGTGTGTGTGTGTGTGTGTGTGTGTGTGTGTGTGTGTGTGTGTGTGTGTGTGTGTGTGTGTGTGTGTTTACCTTTGCTGTGAGTCGAGCGCTTGCTGCTTCTTTTAAATATTTTCGTGAAATTCATGTTAAATGTTATTCACTATGTCTACAATCCTAATAAACTTAAATGATCTAATAACATTAAATCATGTTTTACATTTAGGTGATCAAATTTAATAAAGAATTTTAAAATGTTGCAT